CCATCCTTCAGTTAGAGGCTTGGCCACCTCCTCTGAGAAGCCCTCTTAGATGATCCCACTCAAATTACATTTTCTCCTCTCTGCTCCTGTCATGGGCATCGCCTGCCTACCTCCAGCCTTTGGAAATGCCAAGACAATCCACAATGACAACTCGAGCCGCTTTGGGAAGTACATCGACATCTATTTCAACCCCAGCGGGGTGATCGAGGGCGCGCGCATCGAGCAGTTTCTCCTGGAGAAGTCCCGGGTCTGCCGGCAGGTGAGGCCTCCACCCACCCAGGTCCAGTTGAGGGAATGGGAGAGGTTTCCAAGAGGGGCTCCCTTTCACCACTCTCACCTCTCCTCCCCCGTTCCCCAGGGGCCCTCCCAGAGCCCACAGGCCTCACAGGATAATGAGGGCCCTTCCCCAGAATTCCAGGACAGCAAATGATAGAATTTTTTCCATTTTGGGCAGGGCTCAGTGGGACACTCCTCTAATTTCAGCACTTATGGGAGGCCAAGGCAGGTGGATTACTTGAGTCCAGGAGTTCGAGGCCAGCTGACAAAACCTGTCTCTACTAAAAATTTTTTTAAAAAATTAGCCAGGCAATGGCACACACCTGTAATCCCAGCTATGTGGGAGGCTGAGGCAGGAGAATTGCTTGAGCCTAGGAGGCAGAGGTTGCAGCGAGCTGAGACTGTAGCACTGCACTCCAGCCTGGGCAACAGAATGAGACTCTCAAAAAAAAAAAAAGAATTTTTTCCATTTTGAATTTTCCATTCACATAAATTTCTTCTTGTTTGATGCCTACCATTCCTCATCTCTACTAGAATTAATTCTGAAGCTGAAGCTAGGCTAGTTGGTGGGCTGTATCTTCAGGTGTGTTAGGGGCTGTGGCAGAAAGACACAGATGACAGTATCCCAAATGCCACATGGCCGGGAAGTACAGTAGTATGTGTCCTGTGTTGTTACACCAGGCCCTGTGCTCAGGGGGCCCCATGCTTGGTTTCATGCTCTGCTATCACCACCTTGAAATTCTTACTAGCCTTTCAGCAAGAGCCCCCGTGGTTTCCTTTTGCACTGGGCGATCATGTAGCCAGCCCTAAATAACAGGAATCCCAACATGTGGCACCCACAACAGCAGAATTAATGCATCTCTGTGAGGGGGGTGCTCTCGTATGATGGCATGACACCTAACACATGCATGTGAGCAAGTGGGCACACACACATGGTGGGGGTGCAGAGGGGAAACGCCACCAACAAGGGCGCTGTGGCTGTCAGGGGGACAGATGCCTCAGCACTGTGGCCAGCTGAGAAGGAAGGTCACATTTAGGAACCCCTGACCTGGCTGCGCTTTTCCCATTTTATCTCATTTGACCTTCACAGCCAGGAGAGGTAGGTCACCCAGAGACATGGTCAGGTGCAAAAAAGGAAGTTACAGAACCACAAATATGTTTTGTGTTAAAATAAAAAAAGAGAGAACTATTTATAGATATACTGTAATTTTTTTTAAATGTCAACACAAGAACAGAAAACCAAACATCGCATATTCTCACTCATAAGTAGGAGTTGAACAATGAGAACACATGGACACAGGGAGAGGAACATCATACACCAGGGCCTGTCAGGGGGTGGGGAGATGGGGGAGGCATAGCAGGGGTGGAGGAATAGGGAAGGGAGAGCATTAGGAGAAATACCTAGTGTTGATGATGGGTGATGGATGCAGCAAACCACCATGGCATGTGTATACCTATGTAACAAGCCTGCACATTCTGTACATGTACCCCAGAACTTAACTTATAATAATTTTTTTATATACTTAGGTTCTAGGGCAGGGAGGAGGAGATTAAAGGGAGAGGAAGGCAGGGTGGAAAGGAGTGCTCATCTTTTTGCATTTTGAGACAGGATCTCGCTCTGTCACTAAGGCTGGAGTGCAGTGGTGCAATCTCAGCTCACTACAGCCCTGCAACCTCTTCCTCCAGAGCTCATGTGATCCTCCCACCTCAGCCTTTTGAGTAGCTGAGATTAGAGGTGTGTGCCACCACATCCAGCTAATTTTCTTATTTTTTGTAGAGATGAGGTTTCACTATGTTGCCCAGGCTGGTCTCAAACTCCTGAGCTCAAGTAACCCTCCCACCTTGGCCTCCCAAAACTGCTGGGATTACAGCCCAACTGAAACTCCCATCTTTTAACACTACTGTACCTGCTTCAGATTGCTGGATTTTTATGAGAATGCACTTTAAAATAGTGTTGAAAGAAATACAGAAGGCAGCCTAGGCAACATGGCAAAACCCCATCTCTACAAAAACATACAGAAATTCTCTTGGGTGGGGGGCGGGGTGTGCCTGTGATCTTAGCTACTTGGTAGGCTGAGGTGGGGGATGGCTTGAGTCCAGGACTTCGAGACTGCAATGATCCAAGATCACACCACTGCACTCTAGCCTGGATGACAGAGCAAGATCTTCTCTAGGGAAAAAACCAAACAAACAAACAAAAAAAAAAAATTGAAGGCCTAGGGAGCCCCGTGGCTGTCAGATCTCTCGTGGGCCAGAAAGTGACTGTGAAGAGAGCCCCGACTCTGTGCCATCACTCCTGGCCTGGGGACTTTGGGCACATCAGTGTCAAGGCCTCAAGGAGCAGTCAAGATGCAGGGCAGAGAGGAGTTCTCAGGGCTGGGATTAGGCAGCCTTGGAGGCCTAGAACAGTCAGCAACCAAGCCAAGCTGGCTGGGGTCAGTGCCAGAGCTGCTCCTGGCTGAGAGGCTGGGAGCGGAGGCTAGGGCCGGGCTGGGCAGAGGCAGTCTGAGGTCCTGAGGCTGCAAGGGAATGCTCATGAATCTGTCTGGACGGCCCCTCGCAGGCCCTCGAGGAGCGGAACTACCATATCTTCTACTGCATGCTCATGGGGATGAGTGCTGAGGACAAGCAGCTGCTGAGCCTGGGCACGCCCTCCGAGTACCACTACCTGACCATGGTGAGCTGCCTGCCCCCCACCTCCCAGTAGCCAGTGGAAGGGAGGAAAAAGCCCTGGTGCCACTCCACCCTCCGTGACAGCTGCAGAGAAGCCCAACGCTGGCCGGGCAGCCCCCACTGTGGTGGGGCTGATCCCTTTCCCCTCCTCACCAGCCTCTCTTTGCTGGGAATCACCTTCTCTGCGGGCCTCCCGCTTCCCTGTCACATGTGCCCCATGCCCCAGGCTGGACCCAGGGCTTCCCCACAGACCTCATCCATCTCCCTTTGGCCCCCACTGGATGACAGCCTCCCGGTGCCCAGTGGGTCACGGGGAGTTGCCCATACACCTCCTGCTCCTGATTTCACTCCAATTTCCTGTCCTTGCAGGCCCCCTAAAACACAAGCCCCAGGCCCCAGGAAATGAGGGTCCTTGCTCTGCTCCCAGCCTGCACCTGCCACCCAGGACAGGGCAGCACCACAGCCATCATTCATTAGCTGAGGCTAATGTCAGGAATCTGGGAGCAATTTAGCGAGGTCCTTCAGCTCCAGGTCTCTCCCAAGGCGTCAGCCAGGGCTGTGGTCATTGCCAGGCTCACCTGGGGTGCAGTTGGCCTGCAAGTTCACTTTCGTAGCTATCATAGGCTTCAGGTTCTTGGCAGCTGTTAGCCAGAGACATCAGTTCCTTGACGCACAAGCCTCTCCATAGGGCAGTGTGAAAGATGGCCAGTTGCTTCCTTTGGAGACAGCAAGCAAGAGTGAAAGAAAGTGGAAGCCACCACCTTTTGGTAACCTAATCTTGGAAGTGACGTCCCATCACTTCTGCCACATCCTTCTTGTTAGAAGTGGCCCTCAGGGGAACTTCACCTCCGGGTTTATTGACCACAGAGGGGACCCGGAGTGTTCTGCCTCTGGAATCTCTCCCATGCAACCCACTGTCCTGGATCCACTGCCCCAAGGCCTTCACCAGCCCCTGCCTGGATTTCCTGGGTTCCCTGTCACCAGTCTTGACCTCGAATCTCTCATCCACCCTACAGTCCAAGTGCCAGGTTGCACTACAGAACGAATCTGTCGGTGTTGTGCTTTGGATGGCACTGTGGCAGTGACTCCTGCGGCCTGCAGGGGAGAGTCCTAACTCCTTGGCATGGTTTCCAAGTCCCTCCAGGATCTGCCCCTCTGCCGACCTCCCCTTCTCAACACCCACCACAGCCTCCCCGCAGCCCTGTCCCTGCCTCCCGCCTCATGGCCTTTCTCCCATCATCCTCTGCCTAAACTGCCCTCTGTCCTCAGAGGTGATGGGGCCATCACCTCCTCCAGGAAGCCTTTCTCCACCTCTCAATAGGCGCCCCTGTGGCCTGAGAACCTGTAACAGGCAAGTGGCCATGGGATGGTCACTGTCTCCCTGCCTGTCCCCCTGGATGTACAGCACAGGGCCTGGCCCATGGTGAGCCTTGGAAAGTGTTTCTTAAAGGAACAAACCCACAGTGTCCCCCAGAGAAAGACAAGGCAGGCTCAAGCAGGGCTGAATGACAAATAGAGGACCAGAGAAGAAGTGTGACTTGGCCAAGGTCACACAGTGGCCAAGTACGGGTGCTGGCTGCAAGGCCCGGTCACGCTGTGGCTACTGGGCCATGATTCTGCCTCTGCAAGGGATTGTCTGTAGTCTCTGAGCATGGACCCTGCACGGTCCACGCAGTGCCTGTGAAGTGCAGCGTCTCAGCCTTGCTGTCCCCAGGATGGAGGTGGTAGGGCAGGGGGTGGCCCCATTAGCTGAGGCGCCCTGTCCTGCAGGGGAACTGCACTTCCTGTGAGGGGCTCAATGACACCAAGGACTATGCCCACATCCGCTCGGCCATGAAGATCCTCCAGTTCTCCGACTCTGAGAACTGGGACCTCAGCAAGCTTCTGGCTGCTATTCTCCACCTGGGGAATGTGGGGTTCACAGGTAATGCCAATTCTGCCCCAACCACACCCCTGGGGAGGGAAGGGGAAGGGGACAGGAGCAGGAAGGCATCTCTAGGGGTTCTCACTGGAAGGGTCATGTGGTCCAATCCAGGCCTGGAAAAGTATATCTAAAAAATTCAGCTGTGATTTTGGAGGCCTCAAGAGGTGAAGGGGGACACGTCAAAGCTTAAGGCCCTCCACAGGTGGAGACTGTGGCCAATCATGCCCCTCTTTTAGCTGGGACCACAAAGGGCTTCCCCGTTAAGGTGCGGGCAAGCCAGAGTAAACAAGTCCACGCACAAACTTGCAAAGCAGGCTGTGAGCATGGGAGGGCCTGGGGATGAAGGTGTCCTGACCTGTGAACACCCCCAAGCACCTAACAGAAGTTACTGACAGTCCTCGCTGGAAGAAACACCGGTAAGTTAGACTGAAATGATCCCTGCAGGTAATTTTTCCAACACCAACATCCAGCGCACAGCCAGAAATAAATAGGAGCAAGGAAATAAGCGACTATGAACAAGAGCCGGCAGAAATAACAAACAGTAGAGAAAGATCCACAAAGACTTCAAAGGTCGGAATTATTAGACACAGACTAGAGAAGTTCTGCTTGCTTTGCTCAAGAAAAGAAGCAGCCAACCTTGAAAAATTAGACAGCGAATGGGAAACTTTAAAGACGTTATGATTTAAAAACGAACCACATAGAAATTCCACTCTAAAATAAAAAAAAAATACAAATAGCCAAAATGAAGAACACAATGGATGGTTTGAGGAATCCTGTGCCTGTCTAGGAGAGGGAAGGTGTGAGCTGCAGGGAAAGTCGGGAGGAACTGTGAGTACCGCATGGAGAGAGGAAAGCTGGGAAGTGTCAGGGAGAAGGTGGAGACTGGACGCCGCAGGCAGAGGGAGCACACCTTTCATCGGAGCCCTAAAGGAAAGGAGAGAGAAAGCAGCAAAGGCAACATGTGAAGAGATTAGGGCTAGTTCTGGAACTAAGGAGAAACAGCCTTTCACAGAGCAGCGGGAAGGGACGGACTTGTCCATAAACTGCTCTGGAGCAATGAGGTGCCCGTGTGGAAAACAGGCGTTTGGGCCACTGCCTCACGCCGCGTGAGAACGTTGCCTCCGGGCGAGCTGCAGCTAGGCTGACCTTTTGTCGTCTACCAGACAGAATGCACACTTTGGCCAGGGAAAGGTGGGTGCTAACCAGAGGTGGGCACCAGGCCTGGAAGAGTATCAGAAACACGGCTCTGGTAAAGTGAAGCAGGCACAAGAGAACGAAGACAGATCCACTAACATAACATGTTTCGGTTTGTCTGTTTTTGAGACAGGGTCTCGCTCTGTCGCCCAGGCCGGAGTGCAGTGGCACAGTCTCAGCTAACTGCAACCTCTGCCTCCAGGGTTCAAGGGATTCTCCCACCTCAGCTGGGGTTACAGGGACCTGCCACTACAGCCCAGCTAATTTTTGTAGTTTTAGTAGAGACGGGGTTTCACCATATTGGTCAGGCTGGTCTCGAACTCCCAACCTCAGGTGATACCCCCGCCTCGGCCTCCCAAAGTGTTGGGATTACAGGCATGAGCTACCGCACTAGGCCCACTAATAAAACATTTAAAAGCAGGCACATTAAATGCTGTTGAGGGACTCTGTGTAGGGAATAAGAAGTTAAAAAGTTAGGAAGTTAGAAGTTGGGAGTGTGCTGACCTCTGGAGACGGGGACACAGTCTCAGCCAGCGACGACCTCGGAGGCTGTGGGTGCCGCAGAGCCTGGATTTGGCCTTAGCGGTACTTACATGGTGCTGACTTTATCCTTTACAACACAGCTTTGTGTTTTATGCGCTTCTTTATCTATATATTTTATCTCACAAATTCTTTCAGTTTAAAAAAGTAAAGCAAAAACAAAGACACCCAAGTTTCCGTCCCCCACCAGCCCGGCCCGTGGCAAGCTGGACGTTGGTTGAGGAGGAGGAACCAGAAGCTGAGAGGCCAGTCAGGAGACTGTTGCAAGAGAGCTGGGCCTGGCTTACAGCTGGAGCTCCATCGGTGCTTTGCTTCCTGTGACTGAATGAATGACGAAAGGTCGGGGTTTCTACACCCAGCCGCGTGGATTGAGGGGCCTGGTGGCTCATCTCTCCAGCCCCACTGTCTGCTGTTTCCCAAGTCAGACTTCTCCCGCCAAATAAGCCCACCTTTCTTTAAACTTCCCTTTGACCCAAGGCCCTGGTCTCCTCGAGAGGAAGTGGTCTGGCACGTTCACCAACAGCGAAGGTGGGAATGACCCACAATCATGGGGCGGTCGGCTCCCTCAAAGAGAGGACCCAGGAGAGGCCGTGGCTCCCGCCGGGGCAGCTGTCCTGCTGAGCAGGTCTGGGGCTGCCATGGGCCCGAGCCTATCGGAGCCCAGCTCCCTTTGCTCCAGGCTGCTTTCCCACTCAGGATTCCTGCTTCTCTCTCTAGCTTCGGTCTTCGAGAACCTGGACTCCTCAGACTTGATGGAGACACCTGCCTTTCCCACTGTGATGAAGTTACTGGAGGTAGGGCCGCTGTGTCTGCATCTTCCATGCTGGTGGGGGGCCCAGAGGCCTAGGCTGACAGACCCCTGACACCTGATTCTCATAACCCTACCCAGGCCCCTGCCCCTCTCCCAGGCTCTAGGCGGGTGCCTGAGGGTGGGCGCAGAGTGGGGCAGTGCCAAACAGAGCAGTGGTGTGGCCAGTTTGGCTTTAATGAAAGCCGCAGGGCTTCTCCAGGGCCTCCACTATTCTGGGAAAGCAGGGTGTGCCAGTGCGTCCGTGGCCCATCCCATTAGCCTTCCGGGTTGTTCCCCAAGCCAAAGGCGGCCTCAGCTTAAAGGAAGGGCAGCAGGCACTGGGTGACAAGATACCTCTGCAATGGGGATGTGACCGCACCCCACATCACTCCCACTGACAGTTCTGATGGACAATTAATAGAATGAGAAGCAATAAATAAATATATAAAGCAAGCAATCACATTAGGTACATTTTGCTGTTAACATTCTTCTTCTGGTTTGAGGGTACTCAGAAACTGGGTTTTGTAGGCTTCAGTGGAGGCCCGGCCCAGCATACTCCCTTGCTCCTATAGACTCTCAGCCTTCAGGCAGGACTGATTTCAACCGGGACGTGCCTGAGGTCTGGCCTCAGAGCCCTCCCTCACCCTGGTTTCCCAAGGCCCACCTTGGGGTGCCAGTCCCTTTCTCAGCCCCCAGGAGGTCCACTAAGGGCTCAGCCCACCAAGCTGGAGAATCCTTCCCTGACAGCTCCCAGGGCCTTTTGCCCTGAGCTCGGGCACCAGCCACCCTCAGGTGGTCATAGGTGCTTGGTCACAAGAGGGAACAAGACTTGGCAGAGGTGGGTCAGAGGCTGGGCCAGGCCCTGCGCAGGTGCGACGCGGCCACCACCTGCCTCCCCAGGTGCAACACCAGGAGCTCCAGGACTGTCTGATCAAGCACACCATCCTCATCAGAGGGGAATTTGTCACCAGGCCCCTGAACATCGCCCAGGCTGCTGACCGGAGGGACGCCTTTGTCAAGGTACAGAGCTGGGACAGCAGGGCTCACCCGGCCATCTATTGACCATGGCCCTGCTCCTTGCTGTGCCAATTGGAGGGCAGCATGGAGCAGAGGGTCCTGGGCAGGTCCCCCTCTGCCAGTCACCTGCCTGGGGACTATGGGCTCCTCAGCCTCTTGGGCTCTGGTTTCTTGACTGTGAAAGAGGGATAACATCCAGAGTAGGTCCAAGACATTCAGCCTCTCCAGGTGAACTTGGAGGTGACCTCTTCCTCAGCCTCCGAGCCGAGGACTCTCCCACCCCCGTGTCTCTCCAGGGCATCTACGGGCACCTCTTCCTGTGGATTGTCAAGAAGATCAATGCTGCCATCTTCACTCCACCAGCCCAGGACCCCAAAAATGTGCGGAGGGCCGTCGGCCTCCTGGACATATTTGGCTTTGAAAATTTCAAGAACAATAGGTATGAAGATCTAAGATCCCAGCCCCACTGCTTCCAGAAAACAGAAGATAAGCAGCTCCTCTCGAAGGAGGGGAGCCAGCACCCTGCACCCAGGCCTGGCGAGTCCCAACAGGTCCATGTGCTCTGCATGGGCTGGCACCATGCCCTGCCATCTAGAGAAGGCCATACAACTAAAAGCTGTCCCTGAAAACCAGGCTGACACCCCAGCATTTGTCACCCCTGTTGAGCTACCTGCTCTCCTCATGAGCCAGAGTGGATTATCACGCAAGGGGTCAGGGTTGAAATGGAAATCGGTAACACGGATTTAGCTGCATCTGGCTGGTTTATCATCTTAGGTAGCAGGGGAAGCTAAGAAGCATTTGTGGGCCACCCCTGACTTTTTAGTTTGTGGGGTAAGGCAAGGCAGGACTCCTCTGACCTGGTGTCCCAGATTCCTGTCCTGGCACCCCAGACTGGAAGCAGGAGAGCTGTAACCAGAAGGCAGATCAGAAAATAGCTACCAGGTGTGACTGTGATGAAGGCTGGGAGGTCAGATAGACAAAGGTGGTGAGGGGACCAGGCAGTACAGCCAGACCAGGCCAAGCCAGGTGATGCTCAGCAGCACTATCACCAGCAGGAGGAGTCCCATGAAGACTGTGGGACAAGCAGGCTGACAACACTGGCTTTGCAGTTTAGCTTACCTGAGCGAGCTCATTGAAAGGGCTTGGTGGGACAGAGATTGGGCCGCTGGTTCCAGGGAGTGGAAGCCCCTGGGCCCTGTCTGAGGAGCCAGGAGGCTAGCCTGACCTTGCATGCCCCTGCCCATGGCTTGTCTCCAAGTGAGGTCTGATCTGAGAGTGATTTAGAAGGCCCTCCTTGGACAGCCAGGACTGTCAAGCCACAAGCCATTCCACATACAAGCACACTGGGATCTCAGCCCCCAAAGCCAGCTGGGGGTTCAGGGCAGGGGCCTGCTCACTGCGGTCAGGTGGGAGAGTCAGGGCTGGCAGAACTTAGCCCAGTGCACTCTCTAAGGCATAGAGAGCTCAAGTGTGACTTGGATCATTGGCGTCTGACCTTGAGAGGGACAGGTGAGCTCACCACACAACTTTGGGCACTTCGGAGGAAGATGAGGGCTCAATTCTGGAACATTGGGCCAGGTATATAGGAGCCCCTCCCGGAAGGAGGACAGCTGAAGTGAAGCCACCAGCTGGGTTTATGCCAGGGCTGCAGCCTGAGGGCTGGCACCATGTCCCTCCCCAGCACAGCTTCTGCAAGTATCAGTGAGCAGCTTCAGGCAGCGCACCTGCTCCCTGACCTCCTGGATCAACAGACATTGAACAAGCAGTCTCAGCCATGGTGAGGTCTTGCCTGAATGGACGACCCATCCTGAGGAAAGGCTGCCTAAGAGAGAGCCAAAGATGAGCAGAACAAACCAAGTCATGAGGAAAGGGGGGACTCGGATGCACGGAGGCTAGGGGGCAGCAAAGAACCGGTGCGTTCAGAGCGCTATGGGAAGTCCAGAGTGGGAGGAGAGGCCCCAGGTGAGGCTGGAGAGGTGGGCAGGGCTTCCTACTGGGGCCACTCTCTGGCCCCTGAAAACAGCAGGAAGCCCAGAGGATTTGGAGCAGGGTCCAGAGTGCACATCTGAAAGTGCCCTCTAGGGGCTGCATGGATAATGACCTGCCAGACAGGGCTGGAGCAGACGGAGCCATTAGGAGACCATCAGGTGTGCTCCAGGTGAGCAGTGAAGGCCTGGGCAAGATGGCAGCAGTGGGAATGGAAAGAAGTGAACAGCTCAGGTGCGGTGTTGGAAGTAGCATGGGCCAGCCTTTGGCAACTGATGAGAATGGGGGAGGATGGGCAGAGAGGTGTTAAGCAGGACTTCTCGGTTTCTGACTTGAGCAGGGGGTAGTGGGTGGAGGGACCGTTTCCCGAGGCAGGGAACGCAGCGGGAAGATCAGGTTGGAGATCTGGGAACCGGGGCAGTAGGGTGTATGCCTGATTGATGCGGAGGAGGCCCGGCAGTCAACGCTGGGTCTTTGGAAGCTTGTCTAAATACCAAGGCTCACGGATGGGGCTGCTGCTGTGCACTCAGACCAGAAGAATTGTTTCTGTGTCAGTCCGGCAGGCCTAGCAAAGGACCCTGGAGGGCGTGAGGACTTAATGATATGCTGAGCCTCCTCGTTTCTCTTTGTCTTTGTGCCATGGGTGGAGAAGGTGATGGTGGTGGAGGCTCTCTGGAGAAAGGGTGTTCAGGAATGAGTGTGCGTCTGTGTGTACAGGAGCTGTGCATCTGCGGGCATATATGTATGCAGCTGTGTGCAGATGGCTGTGATCCTATGGCTTCAGCCTGCTGTAGTGGGGACCCAGCTGGCCCCACTCCACCCCTGGGCAGTGACCTTGCCTCCACAGCTTCGAGCAACTTTGCATCAACTTCGCCAATGAGCACCTGCAGCAGTTCTTTGTGCAGCACGTGTTCACCATGGAGCAGGAGGAGTACCACTCGGAGAACATCTCCTGGGACTATATCCACTACACCGACAATCGGCCCACCCTGGACCTGCTGGCCCTCAAGCCCATGAGTGTCATCTCCCTCCTGGACGAAGAAAGCCGCTTCCCAAAGGTGTGTGTTCGGACCCGCCGACCTTCTGGTGGAGTCCCTGTGACGGGTCTCCACTTTGAGGCTGGAAAACTCCATTTGTGTGTGGGGGGGGTGGGGGGGTGGCTCTTGTTTGAGAGTCTCTGAAACCTCTGCCAGGAATAAGCAGAAGACCCCCGGCCTAACCAGACAGACCCTCCTCTCTCTCCAAGGCCCATTTATCTGACTGCTGAGGTCCAATAATTAAGAGGGTGGAGCAGAAGAGCTGGTGGTGGTGTCACCCCTGTAATCCCAGCACTTTGGGAGGCCAAGATGTGTGGATCATGAGGTCAAGAGTTCAAGACCAGCCTGATCAACATGGTGAAACCCTGTCTCTATTAAAAATACAAAAATTACCGAGGTGTGGTGGCACACCTGTAATCCCAGCTACTCAGGAGGCGGAGGCAGGAGAATCACTTGAACCCGGGGGGCAGAGGTTGCGATGAGCCAAGATTGGCCACTGTACTCCAGCCTAGGCGACAGAGCAAGACTCCGTCTCAAAAAAAAAAAAAAAAGGAGCTGGTGGTGGAGGGCAGCAGACCCAGCCTCTGCTCCCAGCTCAACCTTCACTCCCTGCAACAGGTCACTGACCCCTGGGCATTAGCCTCCTGTCCACACAGGGGCCCTCAATCATTCTGAGCCTAGATTTCTTTGCCTCCATGAGGAAGCCCCTGAGCCTGACCTCCCCTGGTTGGACTCTGGGACCTCAGCCCATAGGGTGTCTGGGTTCTTCCAGGGTACAGATCTCACCATGCTGCAAAAACTGAACAGTGTCCACACCAACAACAAGGCCTTCCTACAACCCAAGAACATCCATGATGCCAGATTTGGCATTGCCCATTTTGCTGGCGAGGTATACTACCAGGCAGAAGGTGGGTGCAGCTCCTCTCACACCCCTTCCAAATCTGGACTGGGTTCCAGGGAGACCAGGGAGAGAGGCTCAGAGGATGAGGCTATTCTGCAGCTCTAGCAGTGGAACACAGGGATGAGTCGTGTGGCCTCTGCTGGAGAGAGAAAATGGAATCGGCCAGGCACGTTTTGTTTTGGTAATGACTCTACGGACATGTAATTCACATACCATGTTATTCACCTATTTTAAGTGTGCAACTTGACAGTAGTATATTCAGAGTATATTAATGATTGCCACCATTTTATAGAACTTTTGCACAACCCCCCAAATAAACCCCTCATTAGCAGTCACTCTCAATTTCCCCCAACCCTGGTCAACAACTACTTTCTGTCTCTATGGATTTGCCTATTCTGAATTTTTGCATAAATGGAACCATTCAATATGTGGTCTTTTGTGGCTGGTTTCTGTCACTTAGCATCACGTTCTAAAGGTTAATTTATGTTGTAGCACGTGTCCGTGCTTCGCGTCTCTTTATTGCAAAAAAAACCCTCCATTATCTGGAACATTTATTTATCTCATCAGCGGTTGATGGGCATTTGGGTTTTTTCCACTTTTTGCCTAGTATGAATCATACTTCCATGAACACCCATGTGCAGGTGTTCGTGTGGGCATATGTCCTCATTTCTCCTGGGAAGCTACCTAGCAGCAGAATTGCTGTGTTGTATGGTAACTCCATCTCTATGTTTAATTGTTTGAGGAATCACCAAACTGTTTTCCACAGCGGCTGTACCATTTTACATTCCCATCAGCAATGTATGAGGGCTCCAGTTCCGCCATATCTATTGTCTGTCTTTTTTATTATAGCTACCCTAGTGGGTTTGACGTCTCAGTGTGATTTGCATCTGCATTCCCCAATGGCTAATGATGTTGATCATCTTTTCACGTGCTTCCTGGCCATTTGCACATCTTTTTGGGGGGATGTCTATTTAAACACTCTGCCTGTGTTTTCGCTGGGTTGTCTTTTTATTGTTGAGTTGTAAGAGTTCTTTATGTATTCTGGATACAAGTACCTAATGTGTGATTCGTAAATTATTTTCTCACCCTGTGGATTGTCTTTTCACCTGCTTGATGGTGTCCTTTGAGGCCCAAAAAGCTTTCATTTTTAAGAAGTCCAACTTACTTATTTTCCTTTCTTTTCTTGCATCACATTTAAGAGTCCAGGGTCAAATACAAGGTCATGAAGATTTGTCCCTATGTTTTCTTCTAAGAATATTTTCGTGTTAGCTTTTACATTAGGTCTTTCGCCCATTTAATTTTAAGATATGTTGAGAGGGTATGGTTTTGATTGAAGAAGTGAAGGCCTGGATTAGTCAATCTATGGGTGTGCTAAGAAAAAAAAGAAGGGCGGCCGAGTGCTGCTGTGGTCAGGAAAGCGGGGCGGCCAGAGGGTCACTCTCTGCATCTGGTGTGCAGAAATGAGGGGCAGAAATCTAGGATGATCCTTGTGAGTAGAGTATGGTCATTTGCTCAGAATAGGTGAAGCATTGGAAGGCCAGGGAGGAAGGGAAAGATGCAGTGGCTCCTTCATAGTTCCTGCCGGATCCTGGCTTAGGGCTCTTGGAAAAGGGAGAGGTCAGAGCCAATTGGACCTGCAGGGTCCTGGGATGCAAAGAAGATACTGAGCCCATCCCCCAACCTCCATGGGGCAATTCAAGGCTGAGTTTCAGTTTTTGAAATGATAGGAAACTTACATAATGCTAAGATTAAGGTAGATTCTTTCTAGATTTTCTGGTTGCAAGATTCTAGCAATATTTATAAAGCTAAGCCTTCTTTCTATTTGGATACCCTGCTGTGCTGATGACCTTGGCTCCACTTAACTCTGCCTGTTGGGAGACTGAACCCAGGAGTGTCTCAACCCTCCCCACCCCAAAAATATCAAGGAGCTCCCTGACCCTGGTGGGGCGCTCTGCTTGAGCCTCAGGGACTCGGGGTGTCACTGAGTGTCTACTCCCCGCCCAGCACCCGGTGCAGCCCCCTGGTGCTGCTCCCCTCACAGGCGCCTCCAGGAAGAGGTGGGAAACAGGCTCCCTTCCTGCTCCCACCCATTACTCTACCTCCCCAGATCCACAGCAGGTGTGCACAGAGTATACCACTAAAAGCTGGGGAGACTTAACGGGAGCAAAGTGGAAGAGGAAAATCAGGGTTCTGCCCTTGAGAGTCGGTCCTTAGAGACCAAGCAGTGCAGCTCCTGGACTCATGGAGCGTGGCTTTGAGGAGCAGCTGGTCTTCAGTGCCTTCTGCACTGTGATTCTGTCCCTACTGCAGGGCTAGGCCATTCTTACCCACGGCCGGACGGGAGGCATGGAATTTTCTCAGCCCCTGGAGCCACGCCTGTATTAGTAACTAGGGCAGCAGTAACAAACACCACAGACTGAGTGGCTTAAACAACAGAAATTATTGCCTGAGTTCTAGAGGCTGGACATCCAGGACAAGGCGTTGGCAGGAAGGATTGTCTGAGTTCTAGAGGCTGGACGTCCAGGACAAGGTGTTGGCAGGAAGGATTGTCTCAGAGTTCTAGAGGGTGGATGTCTTTAAAGATGTCCTTCTTTAAAGGACAAGGTGTTGGCAGGAAGGATTGTCAGAGTTCTAGAGGCTGGACGTCCAGGACAAGGTGTTGGCAGGAAGGATTGTCAGAGTTCTAGAGGCTGGACGTCCAGGACAAGGTGTTGGCAGGAAGGATTGTCTGAGTTCTAGAAGCTGGAAGTCCAGGACAAGGTGTTGGCAGGAATGATTGTCTCAGAGTTCTAGAGGGTGGATGTCTTTAAAGATGTCCCTCTTTAAAGGACAAGGTGTTGGCAGGAAGGATTGTCAGAGTTCTAGAGGCTGGACGTCCAGGACAAGGTGTTGGCAGGAAGGATTGTCAGAGTTCTAGAGGCTGGACGTCCAGGACAGGTGTTGGCAGGAAGGATTGTCAGAGTTCTAGAGGCTGGACGTCCAGGACAAGGTGTTGGCAGGAAGGATTTTCTGAGTTCTAGAGGCTGGACATCCAGGAAAAGGTGTTGGCAGGTGTGAGCCCTTCCAAGGTGTCTCTCCGTTGTATGCAGATGGCTGACTTCTCCCTGTGTCCTCACATGGCCTTCCTTCCCTCTGTGTTTCTATGTCCTTGTCTCCCTTTCTTATGATGACACTAGTCACACTGGATTAGGCCCATCCTAACGACCTCATTTTACTTTAATCCCCTCTTTAAAGGCCCTGTGTCTGCACCCAGTCATGGTCTGATGTATATAGGGTGTTAGGACACCAAAATATGAATTTAGGGGACACAATTTAGCCCATGACACTGCCCATCTCCTATTTCTGGAAGCTTCAGAAGCTTTCAGCCTGAAGGAGCCTTAGCCCTAGCAGGACCTGCCCAGAGACAGAAGGATGGTGGCAGCTTAGATGAGGGGCTGGGAGTGGGAATGGGAAGTTGGGGGGTACAGACTTTAGGTTGGAGAAGGGACTTCTTTGTGTGGGTAGATGGTGGTTGCCATGCCTGGGTAGAGGGGTGGAGAGCATGGCCTTAGTGGGACTGTTGTGGGAGGGCTCCTCCAGGCATCTGGTGTTCCCCCACACTGCCCTCTTCTTCCCCACGGGTGGGCAGTGATGGCTGAGCTGGGATGCTGGATGGACCCTGTGTCCCCACAGGCTTCCTGGAGAAGAACCGAGACGTGCTGAGCACGGATATCCTCACCTTGGTATACTCCTCCAAAAACAAGTTTCTGAGGGAAATATTCAACCTGGAGTTAGCAGAGACCAAGCTGGGCCATACCATCCGCCAGGCAAAGGCAGGAAACCATCTCTTCAAGGTGGGCTCCCAGGCACCCTCCTTGGTCTCTCACCCCTGAGGGCAACAGGGCCAGACAGACATGTACAGGAAAGACCATTTTACTCACTTCTGGGTACCCAGCATTTAGTAAACACTTGATAAACCTGCAATGGATGGATGGATGGATGGATGGATGGATGGATGGATGGATGGATGGATGGTGGGTGAGTGAGTGGATGGATGGGTGGGTGAGTGGATGAGTAAATGGATAGGTGAACGGGTGGGTGAGTGTGTAAAGGGGTGAATGGGTAGATGGGTGGTGGGTGGGTGGATGGATGGGTGGATAGTGGATGGGTGAATAGGTGGGTGGATGGTTGGGTGGATGTGTGAGTGGGTGGATGGATAGATGGATGGGTGGGTGGCTATGTGGATGGGTGAGTGGATGGATGGATGGATGGGTGGGTGGATGGGCAAATGGATGGGTGAATGGGTGGGTGGGCAGATAGATGGGTGAGTGGGTAGATGGGTGGGTGGGAGGGTAGATGGATGGGTGAGTGGGTGGATGGGTGGTGGGTGGGTGGATGGGTGGGTGAGTGGATGGGCGGATGGGTGAGTGGGTGGATGGATAGGTGGGTAGCTATGTGGATGGGTGAGTGGATGGCTGGGTGGGTGGATGGGTGAATGGATTAGTGAATGGGTGGGAGGATGGATTGATGGATGGGTGAGTGGGTGGATGGGCAGATGGGTGAGTGGGTGGATGGATAGGTGGGTAGCTATGTGGATGGGTGAGTGGATGGCTGGGTGGGTGGATGGGTGAATGGATGAGTGAATGGGTGGGAGGATGGATGGATGGATGGATGGATGGGTGAGTGGGTGGATGGATAGATGGATGGGTGTGTAGGCGTGTGGATGCCTGGGTGGATGGATGGGTGTGTGGGTGTGTGGATGGCTGGGTGGATGGATGGGTGGGTGGGTTCTTGGATAGGTGGATGCCCCACCCCACCTGCAGGACCATGGCAGCAGCCCTTATTGGGCCATGGGGGCAGCTGTCCCAGGACATGGCTCCTGAGGCCCACTTGTGCTCTGTGCTTCTATCCACAGTCTGCAGACTCAACCAAGCGGCCCTCCACCTTGGCAGGCCAGTTCAAACAGTCTCTGGACCAGCTAATGAAAATTCTGACCAACTGCCAGCCTTACTTCATCCGCTGCATCAAACCCAATGAGTATAAGAAGCCGCTGGTAATGACAGGAGGCTGGGACACAGCAAAGGAGGGAGGACGATGAGGCTGATGGCCTCTAGGGTTGCGGTCACTCCTTCTACCAGGGCCTGGCTAGTGTAAGAGCTGTTACTGCCCCTACCTTACAGATAAGTACACTGCGGTAAAGCTACCAGTCTAGGTCATGTGAAGGTCAGTGACCTGCAGGGCTTTGGATTGCCCAGACCTCTGTCCCCTTAGCCCCGCCACACATCTTCTGTGTGTGCTTGGCCTGGCTCTTCCCTGCTGTGAGCCTCAGTTTTCTCTTCTGTAAAGCCAGACTTGCTCCCACCTGCAGGAATGCACTGAGGGTTGGACATGAGGTTTGCAGCACATGTCCCATGTGTAAACCACACTCGACAAAGGCAGCAACCAGTAATAGGACTCCAGAGGCTGACACCACTCCTTTCCTCAAGCCCTGCAGAGAGCAAGCTTTATCTGATTTGAGATGGTGAGGGGGTAAGAGCCCACTCCTCACCCCATGGGAGTCCCTGCTCCAAGGGCTGGGGAGTCCCACCCAGAGGCTGCAAATGCAGAGATTCCCCAAACTAGGAGACATCAGCTGAAACGATATAAAATCGTTCAGGAAACAATTCATAAGGGAATAATTACGTGAAATTAAATGCCTTTTTGGAAAAAAAAAAAAAAAAAAACTATGTGAAATTGGGTTTGATCTGGGTGCAGTAGCTCACTCCTGTAACCCCAGCACTTTGGGAAGCTGAGGCAGGAGGATTGCTTGAAGCCAGCCTGGGCAACATAGCAAGACCCTATCTCTGCAAAAAAAAACTAAAAGTACAAAATTTAGCTAGGCATGGTAGTGTGTGCCTGTAGTCTCAGCTACTCAAGAGGCTGAGGGAGAAGGATCACTTGAGCCCAGGAGGTTGAGGCTGCAGTGAGCTATGATCATATCACTGCACTCCAGCCTAGGTGACAGAGAAGGCCCTGTCTCTAAAAAATAAAGTGAGGCTTGCCTTATGAAATCTAGTTTGTATCTTCCTTGTAGGCACAATAGGCAGATGTGAGATTACCTATCTTGTTCCTTAACTGCTGGGAGGAGTAGCTGTGCCTTCAGAGACCCTTGGCTCATACCTACTGCCTACCTTGGGAGCTGCAGAACAGGCAGGCAGGGCTGAAGCTGCAGCTCAGGGTTGAGAGTGCCTCTGGCTGGGACATCTCTCATCGGTGGCAGCTGCCCTACTGTGTGGTGTGTCGGGGAAGCTCAGACAGGCTCAGGGTTCAAACCCAGGCTCAGGCCCTGAGAAGTGCGACCCTACACCTCAGGCACCTCATCTTTAAGTTGGAGCCAATCACCCCTACCCCCAGGTAGGATGGTTGTAAAGATTCAGTGCGAAAAGTCAGGTCCATAGGAAATCGTCAGTGAAATGCAGCTGAACACTTACCCAAGGCTAAGCGAAGTGTGGCCCGGACCCCACCAGCAGTTGGCACTGTGGCCCGCAGGTCGGGTAACAGTGACTGGAGATGGGCTTGCCCAATCAGAGGGCATTTCCCAGGGTCTGTCAGAGACTCCTGGCTTGTAGGTGGAGGGGGGCTCTCTGGAATCCAAGCCATAGCGGAGTCTTGGGGCCCCTGCTGAAGCCTGACACCCCAGGGAAGGACATCAGGCCATTTCTCTGCAGGCCGCGCTTGCCACCAAGCAAAAGACGGCTCAGCTCCCTGGGGCCAAGGCGCCCTCCAGGTCTCACTCTGACCTCCACCTCCAGGGAGTGAGGATATTTTCTGCCTCTAAGTAGATTTACTGTTTCATTTCACTATTGTGGGGGAGGCACCATGAAGCTGCAAGTGCCTCCAGGGCTGCTTTCCACCCTGACCTATGCAGGCAAGGGGTGCTTAAAAACGTTTTAAACTGGGCTGGGCACGGCAGCTCAGGCCTGTAATCCCAGCACTTTGGGAGGGCAAGGCAGGTGGATCATTTGAGTGCAGGAGTTCAGGACCATCCTGGCTAACATGGTGAAACTCCATCTCTAACTAAAAATATAAAAATTAGCTGGGCATGGTGGAACACGCGTGTAATCCCAGCTACCTGGGAGGCTGAGGCAGGAGAATCGCTTGAACCTGGGAGGCGAAGGTTGCAGTGAGCCAAGATCGCACCACAGCACTCCAGCCTGCCCGACAGAGCAAGACTCTGTCTCAAAAAAAAAAAATTTAATTTAAAAAAAAAGCACTTAAACTGGGTGTGTGCAGAGGATGTTTACATTCACAGTGCTTCAGGTAGTTGAGAGTGATAGGAGTATTGTGTTTCTGTGGGTGCCGCAGTTTCCAAGCTATCGACTCACCTCTTTGACAACACTTTACGGGTTTTTCAGCTACTTGCACTACTGTCTTCAAAATGTAGCCTTAGCTGGAAGCCGTGGCTCACGCCTGTAATCTCAGCACTTTGGGAGGCCAATGGGGGGCAGATCACGAGGTCAGGAGATCAAGACCATCCTGGCCAACACAATGAAACTCCGTCTCTACTAAAAGTGCAAAAAATTAGCCAGGCACGGTCGCACGTACCTACTCGGGAGGCTGAGGCAGGAGAATCACATCAACTCGGGAGGTAATGGGTGCAGTGAGCCAAGATTGCGCCACTGCACTCCAGCCTGGGAGACAGAGCCAGACTCCATCTCAAAGGAAAAAAAGGTCGCCTTACTGAAATCGCATTTGTTTAGTTCCTCCATCTCTGGAGGACAGTGGGGGCGGGCGGGGAGAGGGGGTAGACACGCTGACCCTGGCTATGTAACCTGTGCCCGATGATGGGGTGCGGGGAAGGGGGGGTGCCTGCAGAGAAGTGCCGGGAAAGGGGGGCTTGCGCTGGGTCAGCGCCCCGCGTCCACCCACAGCTGTTCGACCGGGAGCTGTGCCTGCGGCAGCTTCGATACTCAGGAATGATGGAGACCGTGCGCATCCGCAAGTCTGGTTTCCCGATCCGCTACACGTTCCAGGAGTTCTCACAGAGGTTCGGGGTGCTGCTGCCCAGCGCCGTGCGGATGCAGGTCAGCGCCGTCGGGGATGGCCACTCCGTCCATCCACGGTCTTCCCCTCCGCCTCGGGCACCTCCAGTCCCCAGTACCGAGGGGGCCCTCCCGCTGCCCTCCCCAGCCCCAGCCTTGGGATGAGTCCGGTCCTTTCTCTCTCTCTCTTCCTCCCGCCCTGCCCTCTCCCTCTCCCAGCGCCACAGAAGTGAGGGGGCTTTCCCTGGGGTCTGCGTGAGCTGGTGGCTGCAGTGCTTCCTTCTGGAACATGTCTGTAGTTGTGCAGCAGATGCATTCTCTCCTGCCCTGTCAGGGAGCCGAGGTGTGGCCAGAAAGCTACTGGGTCCTAAGGTTCTTCTTGTCCTGCCTGGAACCCCCAGGCACCCTGAGGCTGGGTCTGGCCTGGGCCGAGCATCCCACAGCACTTGGAGGCCCCAGGCCCCGAGTTCCCCTCTCACCGCACTCCCAATTCGAGGTTCCCATTGTGCCTGTGGGGTCGGGGAAGCGCAGCCCCTGATGGGGTGATGGGGGAGCCTGTCGAAGGAGGAGGGAGACACCCACCCCCAGAGAGCCTGCTGAGGGGCTTCTGCCCCACCTCCACTGACATCCCCGTTTGGTCTTGGCAGCTGCGAGATAAGTTCCGCCAGATGACCCTGAGCATCACTGACATGTGGCTGCAGACTGACAAAGACTGGAAAGTGGGGAAGACCAAAATTTTCCTGAAGGTGAGACCCCGAGGAACTGACGACCAGGACTCCTGCTCCGTGTGGGCTGGTCAGCTCTTGCACCAGGCCTGGGGTCCATGGTCCATGTACCCTGCGCCCATGCCACTGGGCAGCAGCTCAGAGCGTGGTGCCCACCCTCAGGGCATCCCTGGTTGTAGAAGGTCATACTAGGGGACAATGAGGTGGTGATGAGAGGACTAGGGAAGGCCAGCCCAGCCTGTGCAAGCCCAGGAACTTCTCAGAGGGGCGCCTAGGGCAAGGCCCGAGGGTGCAGAGGAGGCGCCTTCCAGTCGCTGGGCAGAACCCGGGAGCTCAGGGAAGTCTGCCAGCATCCTGAGACCTGGCTTCCATCATTCTGGGAGCCATAACCTGCTGGCTATAAGGTTGGGGAGGCCCAGCCTCTCTGGAGCTTGGAGGGTTGCTGCTTTAGTGGAAGGGTGCGGTGTGTCAACTCCCCACAAAGTGACTCATCCTTAGCGGGCAGCTGGTGTGAGCATCACCACCACCACCACCTGCCTCCCCCCAAATGCACAGGGAGCTAAAGTCACACAGAGGAAGCTTCGGTGTCCTCCAGAAGTGCAATTTGGGTCAGAGCCACTGGGGAGGGAACCTCTGTCCCGTAGCCTCATAAGCCTCGACAGGACAGCGCAATGAGAGGGAAGAGGAAGAGCTAGGAGTAGAACCGGGTGACGCCTTGCCCGCTCGCCCAAGCCCCCAACTCATCCCTGCTGCCCCTTCCTCTTCCCTCATAGTGCCTGCCCACCTGCCCTCATGTGTCCTCAGAGGGACCTCCTGGCCCCAGCCCTCCAGTAGCTCTGTCTGTCCATCTGGCTGTGCGATAGTCAGGCAGTGCTGGGGCTCAGAGGCTGAGATGGACAGGAAGAGGCAGAGTGGCTTCCAATTTAGTTGAGGAAGCAAGGCCAGCAGAGGGACCATCTCAGGGCACTGTGGGTTAGTCCTAAATGGCTCTTACTATTTGAGGTATGTTCCTTCAATATCTAGTTTATTGAGAGTTGTTAACATAAAGGGATGTTGAATTTTATCAAAGGCCTTTTCTGCATCTATTGGGTAATCATGTGGTTTTTGTCTTTAGATTTGTGATGAATTATGTTTATTGATTTGTGTATGTTGAACCAGCCTTGCGTCCTGGGGATAAAGCCAACTTGATCATGGTGTATAAGTTTTTGATATGCTGCTGTATTCAGTTTGCCAGTATTTTATTGGGAATTTTTGCATCGATGTTCATCGGGAATATCAGCCTGAAGTTTTCTTTTTTTGTTACATCTCTGCCAGGTGTTGGTATCAGGATGATGCCAGCCTCATAGAATGAGTTAGGGAGGAGTCCCTCCTTTTCAATTGTTTGGAATAGTTTCAAAAGAAAGGGTATGAGCTCCTCTTTGTACTTCTGGTAGAATTCAGCTGTAAATCCATCTGGTCCTGGGCTTTTTTTGGTTGGTGGGCTGTTTATTATTACCTCAATTTCAGAACTTGTTATTGGTCTATGCAGGGATTCAACTTCTTCCTGGCTCAGTCTTGGGAGGGTGTATGTGTCCAGGAATTTATCCACTTCTTCTAGATTTTCCAGTTTATTTGCGTAGAGGTGTTTATAGTATTCTCTGATGGTTGTTTGTATTTCTGTGAGGTCAGTAGTGATATCCCCTTTATCATTTTTTTATTGTGTCTGTTGGATTCTTCTGTCTTTTCTTCTTTTTTAGTCTAGCTAGTGGTCTATCTATTTCATTAATTTTTTCAGAAAAGCAGTCCCTGGATTCAATGACTTTTTGAAGAGCTTTTTGTATCTCTGTCTCCAGTTCTGCTCTGATCTTGGTTATTTCTTGTCTTATGCTAGTTTTGAAGTTTGTTTGCTCTTGGTGCTCTAGTTATTTTGGTTGTGATGTCAGGGTGTCGATTTGAGATCTTTCAAGCTTTCCGATATGGGCATTTAGTGCTATAACTTTCCCTCTTAACACTGCGTTAGCTGTGTCCCAGAGATTCTGGTATGTTGTCTCTTTATTCCAATTGGTTTCAAAGAACTTCCTGATTTCATTATTTACCCAGGAGTCATTCAGGAGCAGGTTGGTCAATTTCCATGTAGTTGTGTGGTTTTGAGTGAGTTTCTTAATCTTGAGTTCTAATTTGATGGCACTGTGGTCTGAGAGACTGCTTGTTATGACTTCAGTTATTTTGCATTTACTGAGGACTGTTTTACTTCTAGTTATATGATCAGTTTTAGAGTAAGCACCATGTGGACCAAGAAGAATTGTTTTGGGGTGGAGAGTTCTGTAGATATCTCTCAGGTCCACTTGATCCAGAGCTGAGTTCAAGTCCTAAATATCTTTGTTAATTTTCTGTCTCTATAATCTGTCGGATACTGACAGTGGGATATTAAAGTCCCCCACTATTATTGAAGGAAACATTTTTATATTGAAACAAGCATGGGGCTCTTACACAGTTGAATGCAAATGTCACATAATTTTGGGAAATAAAACACAACTTCAGGAAAATTTTGTGACCCCTCTTGAATTCTTCAGAGCAGAAATGAAGGATGCCAGATTGAATTAGCAAGAAGAAAGAGCTAACGTAAGAAGTTCTTGGATTGGGCTGGGAGGTCTAGTTGCAGCTCCTGTCTCTGAGCCACATCAAGGTCACTTTGAGGGTCCCCTTCTCTGGCCTGCCCGCCTGGGAGAAGTCTGAGAAATGCTACCTTTGGGAGACAGAGCCCTAGCCCCAGGCAGGGGCTATGGAGTGAGGGTGGGCAGCCCGGTGACAGTGTCTCTCCCGTTCCAGGATCATCAGGACACTCTGCTGGAGGTACAGAGAAGCCAGGGGCTGGATAGAGCAGCCCTCCACATCCAGAAAGTCCTGCGGGGCTACAGATACAGGTGCTGCCCCACCCCCCACCCCACCCAGCCCACTCGTGCCCACAGTGTCCCCACACAGGCCTGCAGCCCACAACCAGGATCACATGTTCCTACTGGGCCCTCCCTGGGGTTACTGAGATCTTCCAGTGTCTTCCAATTAGGGACACTGCAGCCTGTATTGGCCAGAGAATTTGTATACATTATTGAATGTCTGGAAAAATCAAAAAGCACTTCAGATGCAGGAGACGGGAGCCAAACGAAGGGTCAGCCCTGCTCTCAACCAGGATTTGACATTCCACTTCAATTACGTCAAATTATATGAGTTTGGGTTGTGAGGCAGTTTGCTTTTGGAGGGAAAAAAAACCCTGGCTTTGCCTCGATTCCCTGGCCAGTAAGAGGCTACTGCTTGAGTTGCAATCCAGGATCGATGGATCAGCAGCACTGCTCCCTCGCCCCACCCTCATCTGGGTTCCTGGGCCACCATAAAAAAAAGGGCTGGAAACCCAGGCTTGAGAAAGTGGGAGAAGACAGCCAGCCCCAGGAATAGAGAATGAGGCCACAGAGAGCAGGGCAGTGAGCAGGGGGCAGGGAGCTGGAGAGGCAGCTCTGCTGCTGGGAAGCCGGAGGCCTGCTAGGGACCAGGCCCTGTGCTGCCAATCTCAGGACAACAGGCCACATCTGACCAAGCAGGCCCACGTTGTCAGAGGCCAGGCAGGCTGGCCACCCTTACTCCCAACATTTTAAATTAAACTTTTTGTTTTCAGATTGTTGTCGATTTCCATGCAATCGTAAGGAACAATACAGAAAGATCACCATGTACTCTTCACCCATTTCCCCCAGTAGAAACATCTTACCCCCAGGATTCCTTCTGGAGCCTCCTTTAGCCACGTCCCCTCCCTCATACCTGCCCCCAGACCTGCTTAACCCCGGAAACCTCTAATCTGTTCTCCATTTCTAGGATGTTGCCATTGCACAAATGTTATATACATGAAATTATATAAAATGCAGCCTGGGGTGGGCTTTTGTCACTCAGCGTGTTTCTCTGGAGATCCTTCCAGGTTATTGCTTGCATCTATAATATGTATATGTTTATACATACATATATATGTATACGTTATATGTGTATATGTTTTTATATATATGTATATATACACACACATCTGTAACATGTTTAAAAAGATAAAACTTTTGCCATTGAAAAAATGTTATATACAGCCAACCAGGGTGGAGTACAGTGGCACAATCTTGGCTCACTGTAACCTCTGCCTCCAGGCTCAAGCTATCCTCCCACTTCAGCCTCCAAAGTAGCTGGATCTACAGGTGCCCACCACAACACCTGGCTAATTTTTGTGTTTTTTTGTAGAGACAGGGTTTCATCATGTTACCCAGGCTGGTCTCAAACTCCTGCCCATTTTGAATTAATTTTTGTACAGATCGTGACCCTTAGGTCAAGGTTCTTTTAAATTTGTTTTCTATGGATATTGCTCCAGTATTATTCACCAAAAAAATCTATCCTTCCGTCGATGAATTGCTTTTACATCTTTATTAAAACCTAGTGGTGTGGGTCTATTTCTAGGTTCTCTCTCCTGTTCCTTTGACCACTGAATCTATCTCTCCACAATGCGACAGCATCTTGTTTATTTTAGTTATATAGTAAGTCTTAAAGCTGTGTCAACTAATTCTTCCCACTTTGCTTCTTCAAACATGTTTTAGTTATTCTAGTTCCTTTGCATTTCCATGTACATACAAAAATAATCTTGTATATATCTACAAAAAAAAAAACCTTGCTGGGATTTTTGATAGTAATAGGCTTGTATAGTAATTTGAGAATTAACATCTCTATGAAATCCATCTTCCAATCCATGAACATGATATGTAGCTCCATTTATTTAGATCTTATTTGATTTCATGCATTCATGTTTTGTAGTTTTTAGCACACATACCCTGTACGTTTTATTAGATTTACGTGCATTTTTTAGCCATTATAAATGGTACTGTATTTTTCATTTTGACATTGGCATATTCACTGCTAGCAAGTAGAAATATGTTGAATTTTTGTATGTTGACTTCATATCCTGCAGGCCTGCTGAACTGACTTTTTATAAATTCCTTAGAATTTTCTATGTAGATCATCCTGTCATCTGCAAATAGGGACAACTTTCTTTCTTTTTTTCTAATCCCTGTGTCTTTTATTTCCTTTTCTTGTCTATTGCAGTGGCCAGAACATCCGGTATTATTAGAGTGGTGAGAGCAGATATTTTTGCTTTGTCCTTTATCTTAGGAGGAAAGCACTCAGACTTTAACCATTAAATATAATGTTAGCTGTAGGTTTTTGACAGATGCCCTTTCTCAAGTCGAGAAAGCGTCCCATATTCCTAGTTTTCTGGGACGTTTTTATCATGAACAAGTGTTGAATATAGATTTTTTTTCTGCATCAGTTGATAATGATATGAGATTTTTCTTCTTTAGCTTTTTAATGTGTGGGTTACATTTACTGATTTTAACTATTGAATCGGCTTTGCATCCCTGGAGGGTACCCCACTTAGTCATAGCATATAATTCTTTTTTATGTTGCTGAATGCTGTTGGTTAATGTTTCATTAAGGATTTTTGCATCTATATTCATTAAGTCTGAGGATTTTTTTTTCTTTTTCTTTTTTTTTGTCTTGTCTGGTTTTGGTATCAGAGTAACACTGGCTTCACAATATGAATTAGGAAGTGTTTCTTCCTCTTCTGTTTTCTGGAAAAAAATGTGTAGAATAGGTGTGAAATTTTCTTTAAATATTTGTCAGAAATCTCCAGTGAAAACATCTGGGTGGGCCTGGGAATTTTTTTACATGGAGTTTTTAAATTATAAATTCAATTTATTGATAGTTACGGGAATGATTCAAATGATCCACTTCATATTGAGTGAGTTGTGGTAATTTGTGCTTTCTGAGGAATTGATCCATGTTATCTAAGCTGTCAAATGTATGCATGTCAGTTTGTTCATAGTATTACCTTATTTTCTTCTTGGTATGTGCAGACTTTGTAGTGATATCCCTTGTTTCATTCCTGATATTGGCCATTTATAGCTTCCCCATTTTTTCTTTGTCAATCCTGGTAAAGATGTGTCGATTTTCTTGTCCTGGCTGGGCAGGGTGGCTCACACCTGTGATCCCAGCACTTTGGAGGCCAAGGCGGGCAGATTGCTTGACGTCAGGAGTTTGACACCAGCCTAACCAACATGGTGACACCCCGTCTCCACTAAAAATACAAAGATTAGCCAGATGTGGTGGCAGGCACCTGTAATCCCAGCTACTTGGGAGGCTGAGGCAGGAGAATTGCTTGAACCTGGGAGGCAGATTGTGGTGACCCGAGATTGCCCATTGCACTCCAGCCTGGGAAACAAGAGTGAGAGTCTGTCTCAAAAAATAATAATAATAATTCTTGTTCTCTTCAAAGAACCAGGCTTTGGTTTCATTACTGCTTTTCTAATTTTTTATTTTTAACTTCCTTAATTTCTGCTCTTTCATTATTTCTCTCCTTCCAACTTTGGGTGTATTTTACCCTTCTTCTTCTAGATTCTTGAGCAGGAGATTATATTATTAATTCAAGGTTTTTCCTCTTTTCTAATGTGGAGTGATATAATCTCTCAGCACTGCTTTAGCTGTGTTTCACAAATGTTTCCATGTTATACTTTCATTGAGTTCATTCAATTTCACTTTCATTCAGAAAAAATTTTTAATTTTCCTTGAAATTTCCTCTGTAAAAATTTACAAGTATGTTGTTTAGTTTTCAAGCGTTTAGAGATTTTCCTGTTATCATTTTGTCATTGACTTCTAGTTTGATTTCACTGTGGTAAGAGACACACTCTGTATTAATTGAATTCTATTAAATATGTTGAAGTTTCCTTTATGGCCCACGATACATCCTCTCTTCGTATATATTCTAAGGGCACTTGGAAAGAACATATATCTTGCTGTTATTTGGTGGCGTGCTCTGAAAAATGTCAATTAGATCTTGTTGTTGATAGGAGTGTTGAAGTCTATATTATTGCCGATTTTCTGTCTACGTGTTTTATCAATTGTTGAGTCTCTAGTTATAATTATGGATTTGCCTTTTCCATTTCAGTTTTATCATTTTCGCTCACGTATTTTGCAGCTTTGTTTGGTGAATACACAGTTAGAATTGCTATGTCTTGGTGGATGTGCTTTTTATTATCATGTAATATCCTCTGTCTCTGGTTATTTCCTTTGAAGTCAATTTTATCTGGTATTAATACAGCCACTCCTGTTTTGATTACTATTTACATGATCTTTATTTTTCATTGTTTTGCTTTCAGCCTACCTATATATGTTAAGTGAGTTTCTCATAGACGGTATGCAATTGGGTCATGTTTTTCAATCCATTCTGCCAGTCTCTGTCTTGTCATTAGCATATGTTAAATTCTCCCTTAACATTGTCAATAGATTGTTGGAAACTATGGCTTTCTAAGAATATAAAGCAGGTACTCAAATATCATTTTTCCCGCCTTGAACTCTGCCTCCCGAGTTCAAGCAATTCTCCTACCTCAGCCTCCCAGGTAGCTGGGACTACAGGCGCACGCCACCACACTCAGCTAATTTTTGTATTTTTAGTGGAGACAGGGTTTCACTATGTTGGCCAGGATGGTCTCGATCTCTTGATCTCATGATCCACCCGCCTGGGCCTCCCAAAGTGCTGGGATTACAGGCGTGAGCCACCATGCCCAGCCCAGGCTCCACTTCTAATTCTAGTTCTCTTGCTGTTCCCACTACATATGCTGTTTCTTCCTCCACTGAAGTCTTAAACCCTCAAAGTCCTTCATGAAGATTGGAATCAACTTCTAAATTCCTGTTAATGTTGATATTTTGACCTTCTTTCCTGAATCATGAATGTTCTTAGTGGCATCTAGAATGGTGAAACCTTTCCAGAAGGTTTTCAGTGACTTTACCCAGATCTATTAGAAGAATTACTATCTATGGCAGCTATAGCATTATGGCATTTATTTCTTAAATAAGACTTGACAGTTCAAATTACTCTTTGATCTATGAGCTGCAGGAAGGATGTTTTATTCACAAGCATAAAAACATTAATCTCCTTGTACGTCTTCATCAGAGTTCTTGGGTAGCCAGGTGCATTGTCAATGAGTGGTAGTATTTTGAAAGAAATCTTTTTTTTTTCTGAGCAGTAGGTCTCAATGGTGGCCTTAAAATATTCATCAAACCATGCTATAAATAGGTGTGCTGTCATCCAGGCTTTGTTGATTCCTTTCTAGATTACAGGCAGAGTAGCTTTAACATGATTGTTAAGGGCCCTAGGATTTTCAGAGTGGTAAATTAGCATTGGCTTCAGCTTAAAGTCATCAGCTTCATAAGCTTCTAATAAGAAAGTCAACCTATCCTTTAAAGATTTGAAGCCAGGCATTGACCTCTCTCTACCTGTAAAAGTCCTAGTGACGTCTTCTTCCAATATAAGGCTGTTTTGTCTACATTGAAAATCTGTTGTTTAGTGCAGCCGCATTCATCAATGACCTTAGCTAGATCCTCTGGACAACTTGTTGCAGCTTCTCCATCAGCGCTTGCTGCTTCACCTTGCACTTTTATGTTATAGAGGTGGCTTCTTTCCTTAAACCTCATGATAGCTTTTTAAAAAAATATATGTATTTTATTGCACTTTATGTTCTGGGGATCATAACATAATCCCTAGATTATGTTATGTGCAGATCATGCAGGATTGTTGCATAGGTACCTACATGGCAATGTGGTTTGCTGCCTCCATCCCCCCATCACCTATATCTGGCATTTCTCCCCATGTTATCCCTCCCCAACCTCCCTACCCCGCACTGTCCCTCCCCTATTCCCCACCAACAGACCCCAGTGTGTGATGCTCCCCTCCCTGTGTCCATGTGTTCTCATTGTTCAATACCCACTTATGAGTGAGAACATGCAGTGTTTGATTTTCTGTTCTTGTGTCAGTTTGCTGAGAATGATGGTTTCCAGATTCATCCATGTCCCTACAAAGAACACAAACTCATCGTTTTTTATGGCTGCATAGTATTCCATGGTGTATATGTGCCACATTTTTCTTGTCCAGTCTATCATGGATGGGCATTTGGGTTGGTTCCAGGTCTTTGCTATTGTAAACAGTGCCACAGTGAACATATGTGTGCATGTGTCTTTATAATAGAATGATTTATAATCCTTTGATATATACCCAGTAATGGGATTGCTGGGTCAAATGGAATTTCTATTTCTAGGTCCTTGAGGAATTGCCACAGTGTCTTCCACAGCAGTTGAACTAATTTACACTCCCACCAACAGTGTAAAAGTGTTCCTATTTCTCTATATTCTCTCCAGTATCTGTTGTCTCCAGATTTTTTAATGATCGCCATTCTAACTGGCGTGAGATGGTATCTCAATGTGGTTTTGATTGCATTTCTCTAATGACCAGTGATGATGAGCATTTTTTAATATGTTTGTTGGCCTCATAGATGTCTTCTTTTGAAAAGTGTCTGTTCATGTCCTTTGCCCGCCTTTGAATGGGTTTGTTTGTTTGTTTGTTTGTTTGTTTGTTTGTTTCTTGTAAATCTGTTTTAGTTCTTTGTAGATTCTGGATATTAGCCCTTTGTCAGATGGGTAGATTGCAAACATTTTTTCCCATTCTGTTGGTTGCCAGTTCACTCTAATGATTGTTTCATTTGCTGTACACAATCTCTGGAGTCTAATTAGATCCCATTCACCTATTTTGGTTTTTGTTGCCATGGCTTTTGGTGTTTTAGTCATGAAGTCCTTGCCTATGCCTATGTCCTGAATGGTTTTGCTTAGGTTTTCTTCTAGGGTTTCTATGGTGTTAGGTCTTATTAAGTCTTTAATCCATCTGGAGTTAATTTTAGTGTAAGCTGTCAGGAAGGGGTCCAGCTTCTGCCTTCTGCACATGGCTATCCAGTTTTCCCAACACCATTTATTAAACAGGGAGTCCTTTCCCCATTGCTTGTTTTTGTCAGGTTTGTCAAAGATCAGATAGTTGTAGATGTGTGGTGTTGCCTCCAAGGTCTCTGTTCTGTTCCATTGGTCTATATCTCTGGTATGTTACTAGTACCATCCTGTTTTGAGGAATTGTAATCCCTTGGAGGAGGAGAGGTATTCTTGTTTTGGGTGTTTTCATCCTTTTCGTGCTGGTTTCTTCCTATCTTTGTGGATTTATTTATCTGTGGTCTTTGTAGTTGGTGACTTTTGGATGGGGTCTCTGAGTGGACCTCCTTTTTGTTGATGTTGAAGTTATTTCTTTCTGTTTTTTAGTTTTCCTTCTAACAATCAGGCCCCTCTGCTGTAGGACTGCTGAGGTCCACTCCAGACCCTGCTTGCCTGGCGACCACCTGTGGTGGCTGCAGAACAGTAAGGGTTGCTGCCAGTTTCTTCTGTCTTCATCCCAGAAGAATACCCGCCAGATGTCAGCCTGAGCTCTCCTTTATGAGGTGTCTCTTTGGATATACAGGGGTTGGGGAGCTGCTTGAGGAGACAGTCTGTCCCTTATATGAGCTCAAGTGCTGAGCTGTGTGCTCCGTTTTTCTGTTCAGAGCTGCTGGGCAGGTACATTTAAGTCTGCTGCAGCAGAACTCATAACTACCTTTTTTCCCAGGTGCTCTGTCCTGGGAAGGTGGGGCTTTATTTATAATTTCCTGACATGCTGCTGCCTTTCTTCAGAGATGCCCTGCCCAGCAAGGAGTTAGCCTAGTCACAGTCTGCCAGCAGAGGTGTTGCTGAGCTGCCGTGGGCTCTGCCCAGCTGCTGTGTGAACTTCCTTGCTGTTTTGTTTATAGAAGTATAGTTAGAACTGCCTCAGTAATGTTGATCTGCCTCAGTAATGGTGGACACCCTTCCCCCACCCCACAGAGCTAGACCATCCCAGGTCCAGCCGTGGTTGCTGCAAAAGTCTCAATCCAGAGCGTTCCAGATTGCTGGTCTTTGTGGGGGTGGGACCTGATGAGCCAGGTCACCTGGCTCCCTGTTTCAGCCCCTTTTTTTCAATTGAATGGGTGGCTCTGTCTCCCAGGCATTCCAGGCACCAGTTGAAATGGCCACCCAGATTTGTGTTAATTTTTGTGCCGAGACCCGCTGCACCAGCTGTTTGTGTTAGAAACTCGTGGCACTTTTCAGCCTGGGAGTCTCCTGGTCTGTGGGCAGTAATAACTCATTTGGAAATGCGGTGATCACTCACCCTCTGCGTTGTTCTCGCTGGGAACTGCACTCCAGAGTTGTTCCTATTCAGCCATCTTGGATCAAATCTTTATAGCTTTATGTTTTTCTTCTGCAGCTTCCTTACCTCTCTCAGCCTTCACAGAATTGAAGACAGTTAGGATCTTGCTCTGGACCGGGCTTTGACTTGAGAAAATGTTGTGGCTGGTTTGATCTTCTACCCAGACCACAAAAACTGTCTCCGTATCAGCAAGGAGGCTTTTTCACTTTCTCATCATTCACGTGTTCACTGGAGTAGCACCTTTAATTTCCTTCAGGAACTTTTCCTCTGTGTTCGCGATGTGGCCTTTGGCCTGTCTCAGCTTTCAACAGGCCTTCCTCATGAAGTTTAATCATTTCTCACTTTCTATTTAAAGTGAGGGAAATGAGATGCTTCCTTTCACATGAACACTTAGAGGCCATTATAGAGTTATTAATTGGCCTAATTTAAATATCACTGTGTCTCAGGAAATAGGGAACAGAGAAAAGGGAGAGAGAAGGGGTACTACTAGTTGGTGGGGCAGTCAGAACGCACACATTTATTGATTAAGTTCACCATCTTATATGGGTGCAATTTGTGGTGCCCCAAAACAATTCCAGTTGTAACATTAAAGATCACAGATTAGTAATAATGAAAATTTTGAAATATTACAAGAATTACCAAAATGTGATACAGACATGATATGAGCACTTGCTGTTGGAAAAATGATACCAATAGACTAGCTCACGGCTCCACAGACCTTCAATGTATAAAAATGCAATATCTGCAAAGTGCAATAGAATGAAGTGATATCATAATAAATTGAGGCATGCCCACATCTATATGCACCGAGCTCACCTGGGAGTGACTCCGCCTTGCCAGAGCCCAGTTTTCAGGTTTTCTTCTCTATGTCCAGCCCTGGGCTAGTGGCCAGGGGAGGGGCATCTGCAATAAAAAGTGAAAAGTAAGTTTTATCCCTTTATCTTTGGGGGTAGAGGGAATAAAGAAGAGTTTTCCAATAACTTTAAAAAACTGGACTGTCAGCCAGGTGTGGTGGCTCGTGCCTGTAATCCAGCACTTTGGGAGGCCACAGTGGGTGGATCATTTGAGGTCAGGAGTTCAAGACCAACCTGGACAACATGGTGAAACCCTGTCTCTACTAAAAATACAAAAATTAGCCAGGCATGGTGGCAGGTGCTTATAATCCCAGCTACTTGGAAGACTGAGGCAGGAGAATTGCTTCAACCCAGGAGGTGGAGATTGCAGTGAGCCGAGATTGTACCATTACACTCCAGCGTGGGCAACAAGAATGAAACTCCATCTAAAAAAGGAAAGACTAGTCTGTCATCATTTACAAATTTGGGTTGCTAGTAGTAGATTTTTTTGTTCCTGACCTGCCTGTGTGTCTTTTGGTCTATAACACCTTCTGAGAAAGGATCGTACATATTCATTTTTCCCAGAATTTCACTATCCCTCTTCCCTTCCAAATCAGTTTTTCTCCCCCAGAGGTTTTAAACCATCTGGGGTTGTTACACGTTGGTGGCTTGCATTGCCCTTCTAGGAAGGAGTTCCTGAGGCAGAGGCGAGCAGCCGTGACCCTGCAGGCCTGGTGGAGAGGCTACTGCAACAGGAGGAATTTCAAGCTGGTGAGAATTTCAAGCCACTCACTGGGGTGGCTGGGCCCACGAGACCCGGGGGTAACTGTCCAGTAAAAGACAGATTTGTAAAGTTTGTTTCTCTGACTGAGGGACCTCAGGCAGGAAGGATCAAATCACTCATAGGAGTGGCATAGAGGTTTACAATGATCAGACCTCAGCACCCCACACAGTCGCTTCTTAGGTAATCTCCAGCCACATGGTCTGTAGGCTTCAAAATATTTTGCAGAATCTGGGGCATCTTCAGAGCCAGACTAGGGTCCTGCTCTGGAATGGAATAACTCCTGTCTTTTCCTAACTTGCAGACCATAAAATAAGTCAATGGATTGATTATTCTTTGTTTGAAGTACTTTTTCTGTACTTAATCAAGTACTCATCATTCTGTACTTTTTCAAGTACTCATTTATTAATGAGTATCTGCTCAAAAAAAAAAAGAACTAGAGCAACTATGGCTGTGCCCATGTCACTTGGCCACTTGCTTTTGTCATGGATGTAACTGGTTGTGACATGAAATGGTCACATCAGCAAGACTGGCCCCGGGCCCGCCTGCACTCTGTGCTCACCAAGGGCATGACAGTAGCTGACCTGTGTGGAGTGGTTCCTTGGGGCCCATTGCTTCACATAATCATTTTATTTAATATTAAACCAACTCCGTACTTCAAGGAACTGAGGCATGGAGGGGTTGAGGGGTTTCCCCAAGAACATGAAACTAGTAAACCACAGAGCTGGGGTTGTGATGAGGGGCCATGACTTGGAAGCTCTTAAGCCAACCCATTGGGTGGGTACTTGGCAAGCTCAGGGACTGCCGTGGCCCAGGAGATGTTTGCAGCACTGACGTGGGGGTTCATCCATTTCTTATCGCCCTTTTACTTTAAAGATGCCCTGAGAGATTTGCTTGGCCGCAGACCTCCACACAGGTGCCCTAGCCCATGGGCAAGTCAGCTGAACTTGGCTGGCAGATGTGGATGGCAGGGCCTCAGGAGTCCACTCTCCCGTGTGAAATCCATGTCCATTCTGTCTATCCACAGCCCCAAGGAGGCCACTTTATTATTTATGCTATTTCACAAGGGCTTATTTAGCACTTATTTGCACATCAGGCTCTATTCTAAGTACTTCGTAAGTAATAACTCACTATTCTCGTGTTCATAGGTGTGTACCATTCTAGCACCAGCCCTTTGCCAAAACAAAACTAGCTGTAAATCTATCTCGCATGGTCTCCTGGGGAGCACCCCTTTGTTCCCTGGGGAAGGCATTCTCGCCCCTGAGCCCACCTCCCTCTTGCCTCTGCAGATCCTCGTGGGCTTTGAGCGCCTGCAGGCTATGGTCCGGAGCCAGCTGCTGGCAAGGCAATACCAGGCCATGCGGCAGAGGATGGTCCAGCTGCAGGCCCTGTGCAGGGGATACTTGGTGCGCCAGCAAGTCCAGGCCAAGAGGAAGGCAGTGGTGGTCCTTCAGGCCCATGCCAGAGGCATGGCTGCCCGGCGAAACTTCCAGCAGAGGAAAGCCAGTGTAAGTGGTCACCTGGCCTCTTGGGCAGGTGGGGCTGCCTGGGGCCCCATTGGGTGAGGGCAAGAAGGAAGCATGAGTGACTGTGTAGAGAGCTCACCAGAAACACTTTGGAAAATCCCCCTGCCCCTGCCCCCATCACAAGCCAAGACATTAAAATCTGTTCAATTACTCAAGAGCACAGCAAGGATACAGGACACAAGAGGCAAATTAGCAGGCACCTGGGCTGAGATGTAGATATCACAAGAGACACACCCACTTCTCCCTGTTCAAAGTCAGTGCTACAATGACTCTGCAAGGCTAGGGAGCTGTGGCCGCCACCCAGGGGCATGCAAGGTATATCAAGGGAGAGGCAACAGGTCAACTGGACAGCCTTAGCCTTGAACCTGGAAGGTGAGCTCAGGTCCCCTCCCTTTCACCTTGGAGATGAGTTTGGGGGCAGGGATGGCCAGTCCCCTGGAAGGTGCAGCAAACCTGGACCAGACAAGCTGCGAAAGGCCCCAGTTCCATGGAAGAGAGCAAAGTGTCCTGGCTACTGGGCTACGTGCGACAGCTTAGGGACAGAGAAATGTTAATATCAAGGGGAGGTGCTGACTGTCTGGGGGCTGGGAAGACAGGGAGCAGGAGGACAGCACCAACAAAATTATCCCATTTCCTCCCTTGAGTACTGAGACTCAGTCTTCACACTTGGCTCATTTGGAAGTTGTGATAAGGCAAAGGGGCTAGGATAATGTCGACTTCTGCTCCATGGATGAAAACTTGGTCTACTGAGCACAGTGCTAATAAATACAGTGAACAGAGCAAGTGAGAGGATGCACCCCCAGACACGTCAGCGACATGTGTCGGCACCCACGTGCCCCCAGCTGGCTGCAAAACAGTCTGATCTTTGACTTCGTTACTGCAGCCCCTGGGACATCTCCTGGTAGAACCTTGATGCCCTTTGAATGAAGGGACCTGAGCAGTGGTTGTGAGGCCGAGTTCCTGGGGGGGCGTCCCTGGAGTTTGAAGGGGTCCCTTAAAAACCATCGGATGGCAGAGACAAGCAGCAACCTCACCTCTCCAGAGCTCTGATCATCACTGGGAAAGGGAAAGCCCTGGCTGGTTGACCTCTGACCACCCTAGCTGTTAAAATCCATTACTTCAGAGCAGAATATTGATTTGGGCAGATGATGGCAGGATGAGGCTTACTTGGCTTCTGGGAGGTCCCTGCCCTGTGGAGTAAGCAGAGCTGGGCCCCATGAGTCCTGCTGGGCCCGTGGGAACCTTTCCCCATGGGTGTGCAGGTACCGCTGGTCATCCCGGCTGAGGCCCAGAAGAGCCAAGGCGCTCTCCCTGCCAAGAAGCGCAAATCTATCTATGACACTGTCACCGACACAGAGATGGTGGAGAAGGTGTTTGGCTTCCTCCCTGCCATGATCGGGGGCCAGGAGGGTCAGGCCCCACCGCGCTTTGAGGTAACACAAGCCTGGTGTCCACAATCAGGCCCAGGGTGGAGATAGGGAAGCCTACCCAGTCCTTGACCTCAGTCCACCTCTCGGCTCCCCGAGAAGCCAGAGTGGTGGCAAAGTGTGTGCTGCAGCCCACTGATCCTGCACAGAAGAGGGGAGCGTGCACGGGTTCTGTGGTCAAAGCCTTCAAGTCAGGCAGGTTTCCCACCTGCAAGACTTCCTAGAGCCTTCTCTACCAATGCTACTGAGCTCTCCATCATGCAGCATCCCCCAAGTATATTTGACCCCACCTGGGCACCCCCAGAGCACCTTCGAGGCCACTGCTCTGCAGTGTGACTGGGGAAGCTTCAGTGAGGATGGTGCATGCAGCAGAGGACAGTGTCTGAGGGTGGGGCCAGAAGGGGAGAGGGCAAGAGGAGCACTGACCCTGCCCAGCAGGGAGGAGGGAGGAGGTGTGTAGAGAGCCCTGTGCTGGCACACCGCAGCCCATCTGAGCCTGCTGAATGTGGGCATGGGTGGTCCCCAGCACCTGAGGGAGTGGGGTAACACCACAGCCCCCGTGCTGCCCGGCCTGCTGGACAGCCAGCTGATACATTGGTTGTTACCTAAAAGCCCTGCTGACCTGTGTTCTCCCTTGCTGTCCCCAGGATCTAGAATCAAAGACCGAGAAGCTGCCTGAGGTTGACCTGGACGCAATCCCCATGGTGGAGGAGCCTGAGGAGGATGTGGATGGCCTGGCTGAGTACACCTTCCCCAAGTTTGCTGTGACTTACTTCCAGAAGTCAGCCAGCCACACCCACATCCGGCGGCCCCTCCGATACCCGCTGCTCTATCACGAAGATGACGCCGACTGCTTGGTACCAGGGTTCACTGGCTTCTAGTGGGCTCAGGCCAGCCCCAAGCCTGTGGTCTGAGTTATGGCTCAGGGGGAAGAAAGAAGGGGCTGGGGTCACCGCTGGGTTCCCACTGTGGCTTCTGTCTTGCTTCCCCAGGCCGCCCTGGCCGTGTGGAACTTCATCCTGAGGTTCATGGGCGACCTCCCAGAGCCAGTTCTGTATGCGAGGAGCCGCCAGCAGGGCGGCTCAGTAATGCCGCAGATCCAAGACACGCTGGGCAGGGGGCGTGGTGCCCAAGCTCTACAGCATGGTGGATCTGCACAGGCAAGTGAGGGGCAGCAGGGGGCAGAGGAGGGCGACACCCGCCAGGTGCCTACCAGGGCCCAGGCCCTGGGGCAGCTGGGCAGAACGGAAAGGCAAGACCTGGAGCCTCTCCTCAGCCTCACCCACTGAACCAAGCCCCCAGCCCAGGGCATGGGCACTTGCAGTCTTGAACCGTGCTCGGGAACTCATGAATCTCCACCCCGGGCTTTTTGAATTATACAGTCATTAATGGAGAGGGTGCCCTAGACTGAGTATTGGGTGTGACTTGAGCCAGATTCAGATGCACATAGCAATGATAACAACAGGTGTTATTGACTGACAGCCTGCTATGTGCCAGTTGCTTCTCTTCATTCAATTCCCAGGTGGGCCAACCCTACAAGGTAGGAATGACTGTGGTTATTTATAGCTAAAGAAAGAAAGAACTGAAATGACCTGCCCCCATTTGCAGCAGATATGTGTATGGAACCTGGGCTTTGAATCCATTCTGCTGAATTCAAAGACCAAACTCCTGACCCGTGTTCTACCCTGCCCTCTAATAAGAGTGCGGTGACTCAAGCCTGTAATCCCAGCACTTTGGGAGGCTGAGGCGGGTGGATCATGAGGTCAAGAGATCGAGACCATCCTGGTCAACATGGTGAAACCCCGTCTCTACTAAAAATACAAAAAATTAGCTGGGCATGGTGGCGCGTGCCTGTAATCCCAGCTACTCAGGGGGCTGAGGCAGGAGAATTGCCTGAACCCAGGAGGCAAAGGTTGCGGTGAGCCGAGATCGCGCCATTGCACTCCAGCCTGGGTAACAAGAGCGAAACTCCATCTCAAAAAAAAAAAAAACAAAGTTAATTCACATCCATTTTTGGTCAGAAGTCCTTCCTAAGGTCCATTTTCATGCTGTAATCTTAGAGGAATTAACCAAAAACAGTCCAAAAAAATTACATAGCAGTGACAGCACTCAGTGGCCCACCAGTGGCAGGAGCCCATGACTGCACCATGTGGCCAGGTGACCAGCTGGGACTCAGCTCAATGCCTGTGGGGTCCTGTGTGCAGACTGCATAGGAATCTACAAGAGTCTGTAGCCTCATCACATGCCAACCTTGTCCAGGAATTATAGAGAACTGCCCAGGCCCAAGCACTGACTCCCTGATCTCTGGAGATGTGGGCTTTGCCAGAGTGTGTTAGATATCCATAGCTGTGTAACAGATCACCCCCTCTCCAAATCTAACTCCTTAAAATCGCACGCAATTCATTACTCACACAGTTTCTGAGGATCAGGAGCAGCTTAGCTGCATAGTTCCTGTTCAGGGTTCCTCATGAGGTTGCTATCAAGCTGTCCCCCAGGGCTGTTGTCAACTTGACAGCTGGAGGGGTGGCTCCCAAGAGGGCTCACTCACATGGCTGTTGGTAAGAGGCCTCAGTTCCTTGCCACGTGGGCCTTTCCACAAAGCTGCCTGGGCATCCTCACAACATGGCTTCCCCCAGCATGAACGATCCAATAAGGAAAGCAAGAAGGAAGGAGCAAATGTTCAGTCTTGGAAGTCACATACCTGGGGCTGTGGGAGGGGCCCACACAGGGCAGGAATTTCAGGAGGCAGGGATCACAGGGGCCACCTTGGAGACTAGCAGCCACTCAGGGAAAGACTCTGGGAGGCAGTCCAACCAAACAGCACCTCTGGAGGGTGGACATGGGGAGAAGCAGGACTGGCTTCCCAGAGATCAGATCTCAGGTTTTCCTTCCTGCACCTCTTATTAAGTACCCGTGATGTGCCCCAGGCACAGAGCAGTGACTCCAGCAAGCCTCACTGCCCACGGACTTTGCCAGCTCATGTGTTTCATAGCCAGCCCCTGCATGTTGAACCAGCTTTGACACAGCCAGGAGCTACTGCCTCGCCCTGGACCAGGCTGACCCCCACCCAAGCCCAGTCCCATGCTGAGCTCCAATTGTGGCAGCAAATTCTTCTCATGACACCATCATGAGAAGGTGCAGCCTCTGCCTAAGGATAGCAGCAGGTCCTAGTGGCTGGCAGCCAGCCCCTCCCTCCCACCTGGCCTTCCCACCCCTGCCCCTGCTCTCCCTATCCCCTACAGAGCACCTTGCAGTGGCAGAGGTGATTCATCTGCCATCTTTACTGAGAATGACCATGATCTAGGGCTGTCCTAAGCACCTGGGCTCAGACCCAGTCCTACCTCCCAGGGGTGTACTGGGGAGAAGCACAAGCTTTGGTATCAGAATAGCTCTGAGCCCCTCCCTGAGGGCTGGTGACCCACTGAGCAGATTTTGTCTAGTCTCTTGCCTTCCGTGAGCCTCTGTTTCCACATCTGGAAGTGAGGATGGGGACATGCACCTGTGTGTGTGGTAAAGCTCTACTGAGCTGAGGGACTGCATGGTGCTTCATAAATTGGGCCAGGAAATGGCTGGGTGAGAGGGACACATGCTCCACCCCAGGTGGCTGTGGGGTCAGCATCACTGAGATGAGCCCAGGCTCACCTTCCTGCCGGAACTGTCTCCTTCCACAGAGACCTGGCCGCAAGGCCAAAGGAACCAAGGATATCTCCTCCATGAAGCTGAAGCGGTCCTCCCGGCTCACGGGCCAGGTGAGCCCAGGGCACAGAACCTCTGTCTGCTCTCAACTCTGCTCTTGGCTGCTGCAGGGTTCTAGTCTATTGCTTCCCTCCCCTTGCACCAGTTTCCTATTTGGCATATGGGGAGAATCATAGCTTTCCTGATGCCTGCCTTTGACTTTCAAGGTGGCCAGCCAGCTGAGCATTGGAGAGGAGGCATTGGAGCCTGATGGCCTTAGTGCAGATCGGCCCATGTCCAACCTGGAGAAGGTGCACTTCATCGTGGGCTATGCCATCCTGCGGCCCAGCCTCAGGTCAGTTCCCACTCCCATCCCACCTCCATTCAGAGCATGGCTCTCAGCCATGGCCATAGCCTCCTCCCCCACCTTCCCCATGACACCTCCCTGTCCTGTGGCCTGCAGGCTGGGTCTCAGGATAGCAGACATTTTAAGCAAGAAAGGATCATGATCATATTTGACTTCCAGAAAGACCTCCCTGGCAATGTGGTAGGATGGAACCTGTGACTGGAAGGTCAGGCAGGGCTGCTACAGAGGTCCAGAGAGAGCAATGAGGAATTGCAGGAGACAGGTGTCAGCATATGATGGTGGGTTGGATTGGGGGAATGAAGGGATGGGAGGCTCCAGGATGACCCTCAGATTTCCAGTTTGGGTGAATGGCTGATGGCGATCCCTGAAGACCACAGGAAGAGGAGGGACAGGATCTCACAGAGCCGACCATGCACATCACCTCCCAGCTCTGTTCAGTGCCGTCCTTTCACAGTAGACATTGGCTTTGGTGGGAACATTTACACCACACAAATAAGCAGATGCTATGAATTGGGCTTTTCTTCCTGGGAGAGCTGGTTGATAAACATTTACCAGCACACCACTGAGTATTAGGGGAAAGATGCTGGCCTCTGGAGATGTGGGATTTGAGGTGCTAATGGGACACTTTTATAACGTGATAGAGGCTTGAGTCCATGGGGAAGGATGCAGGAGAGAACCGCCCCCAGCACACCCCTGCCAGTAGTGGGAAGGCTCCATAGCCTGTGGGAGCGGGAAGGGTCAGGAGATGGGGCTGAGTGGCTCCCATGAAGTCCTCACCTTTCTGTCTGCTGTGGAGGGGAAGGGCTGCATTCAGGAAGGGAGGTGGGGCCTCCAGGCAGAGGGAGAAATGACTGCAGTCACTGTGAATAGTTCAATGCTCCGCACGTCTGGGAGCAGATGGGCTGTCCACGGGGCACGGCTCCTGAGGACAGGGCTGTGACTGGAGAAACCACTCCTTCCTGAGGCCGAGTCCCACCCTAAAAGACCAATAGCACGGGCCGTGGGAGAGGAATGGAGTAGGGATGCAGAGCCTGGTGGCACAGTCCTCGGAGAGGAGGAGGCTAGGCAGGGCCCCGGTGCTGGAGGGGTGCCCTGCAGAGGGGACCTCCAGGGGTGCAGAAGAGCTGTATGCCCAGGTACCTCTGTCTCTTATCCTTCTCTAGCCCCTAGCCTACTATCCCAGTGGTCTGTATTTTTCAGGGATGAGATTTACTGTCAGATCTGCAAGCAGCTCTCGGAGAACTTCAAAACAAGCAGCCTGGCCCGGGGTTGGATCCTGCTCAGCCTCTGCCTTGGCTGCTTCCCACCCTCAGAGAGGCTCATGAAGGTGAGAGGGCCCAGGAGGGCCGGCAGGGGGCAGGTCCACAAATCCTAGTCCGTGGCCTGTTTCTCCTGCTTCTGCAGGCCAGGTGGGCAGCCATGCCTGTGCTTCTGCAGGCCTCAGTTTCCCCTTGTGGAGAAAAGACCCCTACTCCTGGCTCCTTCCAGCTGCTATGCAGGGTCTGCAGGGCCATTTCACGTTGACTCAGGTGCCAGGATGGCTCTTCAAGACTAAATGAGAAGGTAGATGACACGGGCCTTGAAAAGACAGGTGACCAGGAGTTGGCCCTGCCTGGAGATGGGCCACAGTGCCTATTTCTAGTCCTTATGACTGAAAATGGAGGTGGCCCCAAGCTTCACTGATTTAATATACCTTTAAATACTGATTATAAAAGGAATATGTGGAAATGCAGAGCACCTAAAATGAAAATAAAAGTCATCCCCACTCCCAGAGGGAACTTCCATTCATATTTTCTTCCAGCCTTTTGTAGTGTTATCATGTCCTTGTGATCAAACAGAAAACACTTTCTCACATGTCCCCTTGGGGACAGCAGGAACCAGAGTCACTGAGGCCATTGTTCACGGCACTCGAGTTCCTCCTGACACCAGTAAACCTTCTAGGCTATCCCTCCCCACGCCAAGGCAGAAGAAACAAAATCTCTCTGTAGGACAAAAAGATATTCAACACATTTTCTCGAACATGTTTGGGACATGGAGTCTTCTGCTTTTTTTTTTTTTTTTTTTTTTTTGAGACAGAATCTTGCTGTCACCCAGGCTGGAGTGCAGTGGCACGCTCTTGGTTCACTGCAACTTCTGCCTCTCAGGTTCAAGCGATTCTCCTGACTCAGTCTCCCGAGTAGCTGGGATTACAGGCACACGCCGCCATGCCAGGCTAATTTTTGTGTTTTTAATGGAGATGGAGTTTCACCATGTTGGCTAGGCTGGTCTCGAACTCCTGACCTCAGGTGATCCGTCTCAGCCTCCCAAAGTGCTGGGATGACAGGCATGAGCCACCACACCTGGCCTTGCATTTTTCATTTACTGTCTTCATGATTTTTCTCATGGTCTCAGCCTCCCACATGCTAGCTTTGATACCTTGCTGTCCCAAAAGGCACTGGAGTTGTGGGTGGGTATTTAGAGTCCATCTTCCAGTCATCATCACCATAGATGCCACCATGATCAAAAACCATACATCCACCTTTAGGATAGGCCTGAATCACTGTGACAAAGAGTGTGCACACCACAAGACTATGCACCGTTTAAAATGCGTTGCCAAACTGCCTCTCAGAAACATGCTGATCCATGTTCCATCTCATGGGTGTGAGGGTGCCCCTCAATGCACCTTATACACTGAGTATTAGAATTTTTAGTCCACCTGGGTGGTGAATAGAAACTGGCCTCCATTCTGAGTGTCTTCTCTCCTCTCCCCTCCTCACCCACCAGTATCTACTGAACTTCATTGGCCAAGGGCCGGCGACCTATGGGCCTTTCTGTGCTGAGCGCCTGAGACGCACCTATGCCAATGGGGTGCGTGTGGAGCCCCCTACCTGGCTGGAGCTGCAGGTAGGTGCTGGCAGGGGTGGGAGTGAACAATGGGGTGGTGCAGGGACCCACAGCACAGCTCATGGGGTGCCTTCTCCTAGAACAGAGAGATTTATCCTCCAAGCCAGTTGTCCCTGTGAGTCCCCCTGGGGCTCAGCCTCCCCAGGGGTGACTCCCACCTCCAAGTCCGTATTCCCTTAGGGCCCCACTAGCTAAGGGGAAGATCACCTGACCCATTCGTTAGCATGACAGTGTGCCAGCTGCTTCCAGCTCTCCCTTCCAAGGGCATTTCACCTGGTGAAAAGGGCAGCGGTCACACCACGGCTGGCATCCTTGGTGGCACTGCTGTTGGATGTGTGTGCCACCCCCACCTGCTTTGGCAACTGTGTCATCTGTGAATTCTCACTGTTTTCTCAGGAAGGGTCATTCAGAACAGCCAGCCAGGGTGGCGAGGGACATGGACTGGACTCTTCTGCTTTTTTTTTTGAGACAGAATCTTGCTCTGTCACCCAGGCTGGAGTGCAGTGGCACAATCTTGGTTCACTACAACCTCTGCCTCCCGGGTTCAAGCACCCTGCTCTACACATAGCTCTGGCCCCAGCCTAACCCTGGCAGGTGTTCGCCCTGTGGCCTGAGGTGCCCTATACCAGGAGCTGCGGGTCACTTCCGCTGTACTTTCTTTCTGTTCTCACCCTGCCCACAAGCCCACAGGGCCTCCCTTCCACGAGCCCTGGAATTGTAGGTGAACTTGCAGTAGCTGTGCATGTTGACACAGGGGAATAATATGTAAAGGCCCCAAAATGTTCCCGAGTCCTGGACTCAGATTCCCAAGAGCTCCCGATCTTCTGTGAGGTGAAGTCGAGAGCTTAGGGTTCTCATAAAAGCAGCCACTACAGTCTGAGGCTGCTCCCCATCCTCAGAGGTCCAAAAGGATCTGGCCACCTGCAGCTAACATTGCTCTTGCCTGGTGGCTGTATTCCCAGCTGCAAACACCTGTTGGCCTGAATTTTGTTTTCCATGCCAAGCCCCTGGCCTGGAGCTTCAGAGACCCCCTCACCAGGGAATCCACAGGATGTCAATCAGGGCCCATGGGCTGGGAAGAGGAGGGAAGTGGTGGATGGGGGTGCCAGCCTACTGTCCACAGGTTCTGAGAGGCCAGGGGCCTGAATCTCATCTGTGCCCAGGCTGTCAAGTCCAAGAAGCACATCCCCATCCAGGTCATCTTGGCCACTGGAGAGAGCCTGACTATCCCCGTGGACTCAGCCTCCACATCTCGGGAAGTGTGCGTGCACATCGCTCACAAGCAGGGCCTCAGCGACCACCTGGGCTTCTCCCTCCAGGTCGCCGTGTATGACAAGGTACCAGCCAGGCCCTCTGCCCTTCAGCTGCCTCCTTCCTGCACCCAGGCAGAGCACCCAAGGCTCAAGCCCTCTCACCTTTCCAGCCTAGCCACCGCCTGCCCTCCCAGCCGCCAGGCACAGGCAGGTGCACAGGTGCATGCACAGCAGGCAGCCTGTCCTCTGCACTCACGTGTCACCTCACGGCTGCACCTCAGCCCCAGCAGTGCCGCGTGCACACCTGATCCCCCACCCCGCAGTAGTCATGCACAGACATCAGGCACTCACACCAGTCTCCTGCTCCAAACCCCCTCACGCCCAGGGGCTGTGGACAGCCCTGCAGCAAACATGGAGGGTCACACTAGTACAGCCCCTCACTGCCCACAAAGGAACCCCCAATTCCATGCCCACACCCTTAGACTCAGACACACAGCTGTCAGCCCCAGCTCAGGCACTGGGGCTGAGTCACGTCGGCCAGACTCAAGTCTGCCTCCTTAGGGAAGGGGCCTCAGGGAGAGTAATGGGGAGTGTCAGATAGGACATGGCTGCATGGAGAAACCCTTCGGATGTCTGAGAGGGCTCAGCAGTGTCCACTCAGCCCACACTGGGCACCAAGGGCCCCAAATCCTGTCCTCCACGTGCAGGAGCTGATGGTGGGAGTCCCCATGGGGTGGGGCATGCACTAACACCCGCTCCCCCCGACTCTGGCTTCAGTTCTGGTCCCTGGGCAGCGGGCGCGACCATGTGATGGATGCCATTGCCCAGTGTGAGCAGCTGGCCCAGGAGAGGGGCGAGAGCCACCGCCAGTCACCCTGGCGCATCTACTTCCGGAAGGAATTCTTTACCCCCTGGCACAACTCCCAGGAGGACCCCGTCAGCACTGAGCTCATTTACCGCCAAGTCATCCACGGAGTCTGGTCTGGCGAGTACAGCTTCGAGAAGGTGAGGGGCCTGAGAGCCAGGGAGACATCCCATAGAGGAGGCACCCTGCTGGCTTCTGAGGCCAGGTAGAAGGTGGAGGAGCAGGAGCCCGAGGGCAGAGGAACAGGGGCCAGGCAAGGGGGTTACAGGGGTGCAGGTCCCTTCCAGGCCCAGCCTCCGTTTCCTCCACCCTTAGGCCACAGGTTGGTCCAAGCCTATACGTGGTTCCAGCAGTAGGTCCCAGAGGGCCCAGGCCTGCCTGGCCTCACCTCTCCTGCTCTGTTTATGGGCAGTGGGACCTGGTGGTCAAGAACGTGGCCTTGGAGCCCTCGGCCTGAGTCTGAATCCCACTCCCCCTCTTCTTGGTATTGTGGCCTTGGAAAGTCCTGTCACCGCTGAGCCTTGGGCCCTCATCTGATTTGCGGGGCTCGTGGGGGGCCCTCATTTGGACTGTGCAGAGTGTACCGAGAGCTCTTTTGTAGGGTGATCATGAGAAAGGAGAGAGATTGTGCCCCTGAAGTTCTGGGGGCAGCAGGCACAAACCTCCCTGTACCGAGTCAGGAAGATGCTGTTCCAGGACCCACTGGAGGCAGCTGAAGCAGCCCGGGAAGCCTGCCTGGAACAGGCATGGGCAGGGAGTGGCAGGGACCAGGCTCCCAGAGGCTTTGGTATCACAGAGGGAAGGGGCTCCTTGGGTCCCTGGTGTGCTGGGCCGCACTGGTAACTCAAAAAGGCTCCTGTCCAGCTGAGCCCTGGCAGAAACCCCGCAGGGGTGGCCACTGGTCTCCCTTGACAAGCAAGGACTGGAGCTCACATGAGGGAAGACCCTACCCAGTCAGAGCAGCCCTGCTGGGGTCCATCCCAGAACTGGAAAGCAGCCATTGTTCTCAACAGAGGGCCAGTGGGGCTCAGGCTGAGGTCTCTGGGATTCCTGGCCTGTGTGCTGGCCCAGCCAGGGCATGTGGGGAGGAGGCACATCCTGCCGGAGCTGCAGCTCAGCTCCCCTGTGCTGGGGCGAGAACTCGGCCACGGAGCAGGGGCATCCTGTGGGGGCGGGGGCTCCCACTTGTCTCCCTCACCCCTGTGGGTGCCCTGGGCTGTGCAGGAGGAAGAGCTGGTGGAGCTGCTGGCCCGGCACTGCTACGTGCAGCTCGGCGCCTCAGCAGAGAGCAAGGCTGTCCAGGAGCTGCTGCCCAGCTGCATCCCCCACAAGCTGTACAGGACCAAGCCCCCAGACAGGTGGGCTAGCCTCGTCACTGCCGCCTGCACCAAGGTCAGCCTGCATGCAGCCCTGGCACCTGGCTGAGGGCTCTCCTTCAGGGTGGTGGTGGGGTTATGTAGAGGGGCTGGATTCCCTCCCTGCAATCCCCACCCCCTGGGGAGCAGAAAGCTTTGCCTTGACACTTAAATAGAGCCCTGTCCCTTCAGGTTTAAGCAACCCCACTCAGTTCAGCTCCCTGTCACCCGCCCTTGCCACCTTCTTTCTTCCAAGCTGGTGTCTTGGATGGGTCCCTGGGCTGGTGTGCGCTGTGGTGTCTGGCCAGGCCCTGGCCTCTCAGCATGAGAGGGCACCCACAGCAGCTGACTGCTGACCATGCCATGCCCTTGCAGCCCCCCTGCCTGGCCCCAAGCCTCAGCTTCCCCTCTCCAGGTGGATGGGAACCCCCAGGTCAGAGTGTATGGACATTCTAAACATTTGATACATATCGAGTATTTTTAAATCACCCTTCAGATCTGACACATTGATTACATTCCCAAAGCCAGTGTATGAATAGTACCCAGCCACTTTTTAAGAAATAACACTGTATTCAGCAAACAGTGAAAAGAAAGTTGGGTTGGACATTACAGTCGGTGAGGGACACAGTGCCACTTTCCTCTATGTCAGGAAGTGGCGCCGGGGAGAGGAAAGGGTGAAGGCGGGGAGGCAGGAAAGAGGAAGGAAGGAAACTGGAAGACAAGCAACTAGAGGGGGTCCCTGAGAGAGGCCCCCAGAGACACAGAAGAGCTCCGGACAAGGAAGGAGAGGCACACGCAACGCAGACTTGCAGCAAGATGCCCTCGTGCACGGGGCAAGTCAGACCCAAAAGGCATACGCTGCAACAGCCACCCTGGGCTGGGGCCGGCAGACTGCCTCCCACAGCCAGCGCAGCCCTGCCGTACAGATGCTAATGAGAGGACAGGACACAGCCTTCCTCCCCACTCAGAGCCACCTCCTAAAGTGTCTCCACACCTCTCCCAGGTAGAAGAGGGCTGCACCAGGTCCCTAGGGACATCCCAGGTGCCTCCCTGCAGAATCCATCTCCAGGCACCAGCCTTGCTTTAAGTAGAGCCTTCTCAAAAGGATCCATCAACTCTTTTACCCTGAGCACTGGTTGAGGGATTCTCTAGGGGAGGCAGGTGATGGAGATGACATGCAGGGTGTCCCCTCAGGCCCCATATACCCAGAAGCAAGCCACACCACTGGCCGTGCGAGAGCAGGTGGTGGACGCCGCCCTCCTGCAGTGGCCGCTGCTCTTCTCCCGGCTCTTTGAAGTCATCACGCTCTCGGGTAATGGCATCTGGTGAGGGGCAGGGAGCAGGTGCCGTCTGGGCACCCAGGGATCCCATGCACCCTTCACACTGCCGTCTCTCCCGGCCAGGCTCCCGCCTGCCCAAGACGAAGCTGATATTGGCTGTTAACTGGAAGGGGCTGTGCTTCCTGGACCAGCAGGAGAAGACGCTGCTGGAACTTTCTTTCCCAGAGGTCATGGGTCTGGCCACCAACAGGTGAGGGCCCCGAGGGAAGATCTCTTCTCACACCCTGAGTCCTTGTATGGATGCCTCTGGGGACTCAGGGAGAGATGGAGAGAGGGACGGCGTGCTGTCCCGGGTGCCAGGCCAGGGTGGAGGGACAAGAATCAACGTGTATGGCAGCCTCTGAACTTGGGATCCCCCGCTCCCGTGCCAGGCTTCACTGCTCCCTAAGTACTCCATTGGGACATCACGCTGTGCACTGGCAGCTTCTCTGTGAAACCCAGATCCACCCAGAAAGGACAGAAGTGTGCAGCCCCTGGCATGCACTTATTTCAAAGGTTCCTTTCTTTGTCATGGGCAAGAATTGGTAGTCTGGAGGGTACAGATTGTCTGGGAGAGGGGCAAGGGGCAGTGTCTGGGGTGACCCGGGGCATCCGGCAGGGCTGGGGGGTCTCTTAGGCTGGGGCTGACCCCTACTCCCATGGGTCTCCATGGCTGTCATTGCCTGGGAACTTTTCCATGCCCTTTGGGAAGTCCCACCCAAGCCCTGCCAGTGCACCCGTTAGTTCAAGCACACTATGGAGTGGCACACACATCGCTGGGCTATGCCAGGTGCACGGTGGCCACCACTCCCCACTGGCCACCACTCAGTGAGGCTGACCCTGCTGGGCTTTCCTGTATGCCAGGAACTCCTGACAGCATCACCCATTCTGCAGATGAGTGAACTGGGGCACACCGAGGCTAGGTGGCTCAGAGTGAGCACCGGCGGCTCGTCTCAGCTCTAACCTTTGCAGTGTCCCCTGCACACCAGCCACCTCATTATCTGCCCAGAGCCAACCCCACACATGGGCTGCACCACTCACAGCCTCCGAGGGGTGCTGTGCTCTGCCGTCCTTCATTTGCCCAGCCCCACAGCAGTGTCTGGCCCAGTCCTGGCCCTGGTAGAGCAGCTCTATATCCTCATCTGTGACTCAGGAACCCCCACTCCACCTTCCGAGGCTGTTTAGGGGCTGGGTCGGGGAGGTAGGGAGGGCTCCTGGTCATGCTGCCATTGGTCTCCAGGGAGGCCCAGGGCGGGCAGAGGCTGCTGCTCTCCACGATGCACGAGGAGTACGAGTTCGTGTCGCCTAGCAGCGTGGCCATCGCTGAGCTGGTGGCCCTGTTCCTGGAGGGCCTGAAGGAGAGGTCCATGTTCGCCATGGCCCTGCAGGACAGGAAGGCCACAGGTGCCAGACGGGGTGGGGCGGGGTGAGGGCCAAACGTGGGGTCTGTAGGGAGGTGGTGTGCCCATCTCCATACACAGCAGCCGCAAGGCAAGCAGAGGCAGGGAGCACTCCACAGCTCTGTGGGGGCAGCTTTAGGCAAGGCCCTATCTTCTCTCAACCCCTGATGCCTCTTCTACAAAATGAGGGGCTGAAAGAGGTGGTCTCCAGCGCAGCAAGGCCAGCCATGCTCAAGGCTGCACAGCTGCCGAAGCACCAAGGCAGGCCGGCCCATCCCCACAGTGAACGGCTGCAGAAGCACCATCCCCACAGTGCACGGCTGCAGAAGCACCCCATCGCCCCTTTTAACAGACATGAGACCAGAGGTCCAGAGATGGAAGTAGCTCACCCAGGGTCACACAGCTCAAGGGGGTGAGAACCTAGTTCCCAGCCACAGCTCTCCTGCAAGCCAGCACTCCAGTGACAGCTGCGCTGTGTCTGTGGACTATAGAGGAGCCTGACAAAGCCCCACAGCCCCCATGGCCCAGTCTGCTGGCCGGGTAGTCAAGGGTGGTGTGGGGCGGTTGGTGCAGGGGCTTCAGAAGGGGGTGCTGGGAGGGATGCAGCAGAAGAGTCTGTGCATAGGGTCTTTGGGAGTGAGAAATGTCATCCCGAGATGTGCCACCTTGTCACCCCATTCAGTCCTCACGGCCACCGCACAAGGGAAAGATGATTGCCATCTCTAAATTCCAGATATGGAGGTGGGCTAGAGAGGCAGGCAGCACTCAGGCCAGGTGTGGGGACTGCCAGCCTGTGCACCCTCCATCCCTCAGCCCCGCTCCTGGCCAGTCCTCCGAAGGTCTCCCAGGGCTGGGGCAGCAGTCAGATCTCTCAAGCAGTCAGATCTGGGCTCTGTGCCTGTGTGGGTGCAGCAGGTCACAGCCCTCTGGGGCCCCCGAGGTTCCAGTCCCACCCCACTCACTCTCAGAGTGGTCTTCTGCCCACTACCCTATACTTGGCTCCATCCATCAAAGGAGATGGCCCACAAAGTGCCAGCACAGCCACTGGCCCTGCAGAGCCCTCAGCAAATGGCAGCATTTTGTTTCTTGTGTCCTGGCCTTACAGATGACGCCACCCTCCTGGCCTTTAAGAAGGGGGACTTGCTGGTCCTGACAAAAAAGCAGGGGCTGCTGGCCTCTGAGAACTGGACCCTTGGCCAGAACGACAGGACAGGCAAGACGGGGTTGGTGCCCACAGCCTGCCTCTACACCATCCCTACGGTCACCAAGCCCTCGGCACAACTGCTGGTAACTGGCACGCTCAGCTGTCCTCAGCCTGGGCACCCAAGGGCAGGGTGGAGCGGTCCTGGGATGCCTAGCCGGGAGGCCAAGCTCAGGGCCTTCAGCCCACCTAGAAGAGGCCAGGAGGGCTACCAGGGCATTGGGTCAGCCCTGCTGTTCCCCACCATTGCTGCAGCAAGGTGCAAGGTGTGTGTGCAGTGCCAGCCCAGCTCTTTGTACTTGGTAGGTGCTCAATAAATGGGTGTTCCCTCCCTCTTCCATCATGGGTGTGTCCTGGGGACAAACCCAATATTTCTTTGCTTCATTTACACTCTGACCCAAGGGGGACCAAGTCTCTCCCTGAACAGGGGAACCACCCACCTGAGCCCCCAAGATCAGCCTCTCGGGAGGCAGGAATGGCAGGCATTGCAACATGTACATACTGACTGCCAAGTATGTGCCCTGTGTCTGCTGTACCAGGCTGGGCACAACAGCAGCTCCACCCGCAGGGCAGACATTTGGGCAGGTAATGATGAATGGATGGCAACTGTGCAAAGTGCCACCAAGGAGGGGGACAAATAATAGGCTGGGGGGCTCACCCAGTCTGAAAGGCATCCCTGAGGGAGGGACATTTGTGCTGAGGCCTGAAGTTAGTGGCAGACCAGGCAGGCAGGGCTGGGGCTAGAGGTGGCCCTGTGGTGAGGGGGAGCTGAGGATCTGGCGGTCTGAGAAACGCAGAGTGCTGTGGCACCCAGAACGGGTGATTCGGGCACCACAGCTATTGCTGCTCATCCTCCTGAGGGAAAGGACACAGGCACCAAGAGGTAGCGTTACCGTCCTGGGTCACAAGGCAGGTGACATGGGTGTAGGTAAGCCCTGGCCTGTCCAGCCTTGTGCCTGACCCCTCCCAAGTCACTGAGGCAGCCAGGCCAGGAAGAGCCTGTAGGAAGGGCCTCATGGGCATGGCTCCTGGGCACCCACAGGCCTGTGCCCCCTCCAGAGCTTGCTCGCCATGTCACCAGAGAAGCGGAAGCTGGCAACCCAGGAGGGGCAGCCTGCAGAGCTACAGACCAAGGAGCCACCCAAGGAAAAGCCACACACCCTGGAGGAATTTGCCTACGAGTTCTTCAGGTGCTCCCCCAGCCCACCCCACCCCATGGCACCCCACCCCAGCCCCACCCCACCCCATGGCACCCCCACCCCAGCCCCACCCCACCCCATGGCACCCCCACCCCAGCCCTGCCCCACCCCACCCCATTGCACCCCCACCCCAGCCCCGCCCCACCCCATTGCACCCCCACCCCAGCTCCGCCCCACCCCATGGCACCCCCACCCCAGCCCTGCCCCACCCCACCCCATTGCACCCCCACCCCATCCCCGCCCCACCCCACCCCATTGCACCCACAGAGGGTTGCAGGGAGGCCATGCCACCCATGTGGAGCCTGCCTGGCCTCCTCAGCCCCCTCCTTTGCCCGCAGCTGGGAAGCTCTTCCTTGGCTGTCTTTGCTCTCCCCCACCCCTTCTGCGTCCTCTGGCTTGGTCTCCTGTGGCCGTGAGGTGGTGGGTTGACCATGAGAGTGGCCATGATCTCAGTGCCAGCCATGGTCACAGAGGGAGGTGGGTGCCCCACTAGAGGCTCTGCTGGAGTCCCTGGCCCCTGCCAGATGCCCCTGTTATGTGAGAACAAAAACACAGCCAGCCCCGCCCACCGGTGCCTCTCCGGGAGCCCCTGGCCTGACCCTTCCCTTTTGGCACAGCTGCATTGTCAAGACCTCTGAGCCAGGGGCAGCCCCCGGGGAGTTTTCAGAAGGGGTTTTCAGCAGGGAAGGGTGCTCCGGCCCTCCCGCAGCCACCCAGGGGTGTCAGACAGAGAACAGAGAAAGCCACAGGGCAGGCCTCATGCCAATCTCTGACATCCCAGGGCTCCAGAGAAGGAGACAGGGAGCAGAGCCATGCTGCCCCTTTCCCGTGCCCGCGGCCATCTGTGGGCCTATTCCTCCGAGCCACTTCGACAGCCACTGCTCAAGCAAGTCCATGCCAACATCGACCTCTGGGACGTCACCTGCCAAATCTTTGTCGATATCCTTCCCCACCAGCCTAGCCAACCGCAGGGCACAGGCACCCAGCACCTCCCAGCCCTACAGCTGTGCCCTAGGGCAGGGGAGCCCAGGTCTGAGAAACCCAGAGTGGTGCGACAAAGCCCACATATGGCTCACCACAGGGCTGGGGTCAGGAGTCAGCAAGGGGCCTAGGTCAGGGTCAGCGTCTATCCCCATTCGGGTCAGCGTGGGGCTGCCCCAGCACCGTGCTCCTTGACAGCCACACCCATCCTCCGGTACATGGGCGACTACCCGTCTCGGCAGGCCTGGCCCACTCTGGAGCTCACCGACCAGATCTTCATGCTGGCCCTGCAGCACGAGGCCCTGCGGGACGAGGTCTACTGCCAGATCCTGAAGCAGCTGACGCACAACTCCAACAGGTCTGCTGGATAGCTGCCAGCACGTGCTGGCACCCTCAGTCCTCGTCCTAGACCCTGAGGCCAGGCCGAGGCTCAGAGGGGACACTGCAACTCGTGGCCACAGTACCCCTGCCTGGGCACCCGTGTCAGCAGTGGGAAAGGCTGGGGCCCTTGGTCTGCTCTGCTGATGTTCTGGGGGCAGTCAGAAGAGGAGAGGACGGCCCTGCCCTCACCCACCTTCCCTGTGTGACCTGGCAGGCCATGGCCTCTCTGAGCCTTAGTGTCCTCCTCCACAAAATGGGTGCAATGCCCACCCATTTCTGAGGGTGCAGAAGCCAGTGGCATTGGGCAGCCGGGCACAGCTGGCATGGTGCCACCTGGCTGGTGTCCTCCCGCTTGGGCCCTCCAGACCCCAGGCAGGTCTCACATCCATCCCTGCTCCCCAGGGTGCCTTCTCGGCCTGAGCCCCCTAAGGAGCCCTTCCCAGCTGACAGACGCCACCTCCCTGCAGGCACAGTGAGGAGCGAGGCTGGCAGCTGCTGTGGCTCTGCACAGGCCTCTTCCCACCCAGCAAGGGGCTGCTGCCCCACGCCCAGAAGTTCATAGACACTCGGAGGGGGAAGCTGCTGGCCCCCGACTGTAGCCGCCACATCCAGAGGGTCCTGAGGTGAGCCCAGCACCTCCAGCCCCCAGCACTGGCCCTGGGCCTGCAAAGCTGGGATGCTGTGGGAACTAGCCAGCCCTCCAGGAGCTCATGGTCCCCGAGGACTCTCCAGAAGCCAGTGTCATCTTGGGAGGCAGCATTGGACCCTGAGTCACCAGAGAAGAGGGTGGGGGCCCAGGAGGGTCAAGAGGAGGCTCAGTCATAACCACCAGCTCCCCTGCCCCACCCCTGCCCCGAGGTGGCACAGAGGCACTGCCTGAGGGATAGAGGGAGACCTGGGTGCCCCAGCTCAGGCCCTCGAGGCTAAGGTCAGAGGCCTGTCCCTCCAAGTCCATATAGACCCCTCCTTTGCCCACAGCCGGGAAGCTCTTCCTTGGCTGTCTTTGCTCTCCCCCACCTCTTCTGCGTCCTCTGGCTTGGCCTCCTGTGGCCATGAGGAGGCGGGTTGACCACGAGAGTGGCCATGATCTCAGTGCCAGCCATGGTCACAGAGGGAGGTGGGTGCCCCACTAGAGGCCCTGCTGGAGTCCCTGGCCCCTGCCCAAGGCCCCTGTTATGTGAGAACAAGAACACAGCCGGCCCCGCCCATTGGTGCCTCCCCGGGAGCCCCTGGCCTGGCCCTTCCCTTCTGGCACAGCTGCATCGTGGAGACCTCTGAGCCAGGGGCAGCCCCCAGGGACGTACGAGGGGCTGAAACCATCCCTTAGCGATGGTCACTGGGGTTATTTTTCTTTTGTTTCTGGCACATGGTTTAGGGCCCACGTCGGGGCTGGGGCATGGATGAGGATGAGGGTGGGGGGGGCACCTGCAGCATGCACTGTCCCCCTCAGGACAGGGCCTCGGAAGCAGCCCCCGCACCAGGTGGAGGTGGAGGCGGCAGAGCAGAACGTCTCCCGCATCTGCCACAAGATCTTCTTCCCCAATGACACCAGCGAGGTAAGCCCCTGCCCTGGTCTCCCTGGCAAGTCTCAGGCCTCTGGAGGCCATGAGGCACCGTCCCTACTGGCCCAGCCTGCTCTTGGTCACCCTTGGAGGACCTTTTCTAGGGCTGTCTCATCTTCAGCAGTCTCCTGCCCCCTCCCCGTGGGACGCAGGCCCTGCCTGCCCTTGGGTGCCTTGGAAGTTGGGCAGGTCTCAAGGCATGAGTTGGGGGATCCCGGCCTAGGACACAAGAGAGAGGACAGAGGGGTGGGCAGCAAGGGTGAGTCCCTGGACTTGGGGGCCTTTAGGGGTTTCTGATCATCTGGGGCACAGGGGAGCAAGTGTCCCCACTTGGTGTGCCTTGCACACAGAGCCTGCCATGGCTGCTGGGGGAACAAAGGGGACAGGGGACAGGTGGGAGGCCACCAGGACCCAGCCGTGACAGAGGCCTTGGCCAGGGGAGCAAATACAAGCGGGCTGAGCAACCGAGGTGGGCAGTGCCACCTTCACACCCTCTCCAACAGCAGGGTGGTCTTTTTGGCCTTGGGGACAGTCAAGTCCCAACAGCAGGAAGTTCCCACAGTCTGGCTGCTGGGCTCTCAAGGCGTGTCAAAAGGCCAGGCCTCCAGGGCCCCAGGACGGCAAAGGCTGGGACTGAACAACGTGAACCTTTGGCCAGGGTTCTGGAAGTGAGGCTTGCCCTGCTCAGGGCAGGCCACATCCAGCCCAGGTTTGACGAAGGAGCAAGAGTGCCAGGCTAGAAAGGGTCATCCTGGGCTGTGCTGGCCCCTAGCCAGGCCCCACGCCTCACCAGCCGCCTCTCTGTCCAGATGCTGGAAGTGGGTGCCAACACGCGGGTGCGGGATGTGTGTGACAGCATTGCCACCAGGCTGCAGCTGGCCTCCTGGGAGGGCTGCAGCCTCTTCATCAAGATCGCAGACAAGGTGGGCTAGGCCAGGGCTGGGCAGGCAGCAGGCAGAGGGCAGGTGGGCAGTAAGCGGGGGCCCTAGGTGCTGCCTGGGGGCCCTCAGCCTGCCAGAGGCACCAGCGCTGGACCAGGACTGTCCCCTGGAAGTCACCCAACTTCCCTGTACCTTCCCCTGCCCCAGGTCATCAGCCAGAAGGAGGGAGACTTCTTCTTTGACTCCTTGAGGCAGGTGTCTGACTGGGTGAAGAAGAACAAGCCCCAGAAAGAAGGTGAGGAGGCCTCTGTGGAGCCGGGGGGGGAGGCGTGGCTGGATGGGGCAAAGGAGGTGCCATCGGCCTCCGTGGGCAGGGCCTCCTGCAGGGCCCATGCCAATTCATCCATCCATTCAATCCCCTGTGTGTCTCTGGGTTGTGGGGACAACCAGGCCCTGGGGCCTGGTGGTGAGGGCCTCCCAGCTCGAGCAGGAGCAGGTAGCTGAACACTGGATGATGAAGGCTGCCTGGGACTGAGGGGCATGAACCCCATGGGGCGCTGGGGGACTCCAGGAATGTTCCTGGAGAAGGCAGCCTCTATACTAGTCTTGAAGGCTAGGCTAGGGAAGAGAGGAGGCCGGGGAGGAAGAAGGGTGGAGGCTTTCCAGGCAGGGAGACAGCAGGCACAGTGTGAGGGTGGCAGAGGGTCAGGGCTGGTGGCACCTGCCGGGATAGGCTTGGTGCCCACTGCTGGCCCTCGCCCAGGGGCCCCCGTGACACTCCCCTACCAGGTGTACTTCATGCGGAAATTGTGGCTTAACGTAGCCCCAGGGAAGGATGTGAACTCGGACACCATACTCCATTACCACCAGGTACCAGGCAGGCTGCCTAGGGGGGCATTCTCCCACACCTCTTCTGAGGCTATAGAAGCCAGCAGGCCAGGGCAGGGCGAGCCTCAGCCTTGGGTACCCTGTGGTAGGCAGAAGAAGCCTCTGAGGGCTCTGGAAGCAGGAGCAGAGGGCAGCAGTGTTTAGGGACAGTGACTGCACTGGCACCTGCAGCATGACTTGAGGAGGGTGGGGCAGGAGGTCCTGCAGCCCATGAAGCAGTGGCCTCAGCCTGCAGGGCCAACCACCTGGGTGGAGCAGGCCATCATCCCCATGTAAGTGTCAGGGGGCCCTGCCCTGACTCAGGTCATTCCCCCAGCCTGAAACTCTACCCTGCTCAGTCTGCCCTGGATGGAGTGGTCTAAACCCCAGGTCCCCACCACCTAAGAGAGAAAGAGGTCGGGGTGGGTGGGCCGCAGCGGGACAGCCAGCATGCCCAGTGTGTCCACCACTCAGGAGCTGCCCAAGTACCTGCGTGGGTTCCACAAGTGCTCGCAGGAGGACGCCATCCACCTGGCGGGCCTCATCTACAAGGCCCAGTTCGACAATGACCGGTCCCAGCTGGCTAGTGTCCCCAAGATCCTGAGGGAACTGGTGCCCGAGAACCTCACACGCCTGATGTCCTCGGAGGAGTGGAAAAAGGTCCCTGATGGGGCTGGGGAAGGGTCCTTGGGCTGCTGCCCCTCCCGGGGACCCCGCCCCAGTGCCATGCCCTGCCTGGGCTCCAAGGGCGCACATGGGTGGTGTGGATGGTGGGCTGGCTGCACATATACCACACCTTCCATGCTGTCCACGGCGCCTCTGAGACTCTGTCCCATGCTGCACTCCCCCCCTCCCCCATACTGGCCCTGGGGTAGGCAGGTGCTGCCCTCACCGAGGCTTTGGGGGCCTCTGGGCAACCAGGCCCTTACTGGCCCTCCTGTTCTCCAGAGCATCCCTCTGGCCTATGACAAGCACAAGGACAAGACCGTGCAGGAGGCCAAGGTGGCCTTCCTGAAGTGGATCTGCCGGTGGCCCACCTTTGGGTCAGCCTTCTTTGAGGTGAAGGTAGGCCTTGCCCCTCAGCCAGGCCTCCTACCCAAGGAGGCCCCACTCAGCACTGCCCCGGCAGGCCCACCATCAACACACACACATCTTGGTTGGGGATGGCCACAAGGCTGGAGTGTGTGGGCATGCATGTATAGGTGCGTGCGGCCCAGGTGAGCTCTGGGAGGTGCAGCCTGGCCTCCCGGGCTGGACTGTGACCCCGTGTCCCTCCCTCTCAGCAAACCTCGGAGCCCTCTTACCCTGACATCATCCTCATCGCCATCAACCGACATGGGGTTCTGCTCATCCACCCCAAGACCAAGGTAACTGCTGGGCCTCCGGAGGGGCTGGGGGCCACCTGGTCCAGGGACCTGTGCAGGTGGAGCTGTGGTCACCTCTGTGGTTTGTCCTGCCTCTCTCCTGTCCCGTAACACACACACAACCCACAGGCTCTGGAGGCGCCCTGCCCACCCACCCTTTCTGCCCCCAGGAGCTGCTCACCACCTATCCCTTCACCAAGATCTCCAGCTGGAGCAGCGGCAGCACCTACTTCCACATGGCGCTGGGAAGCCTGGGACGCGGCAGCCGCCTGCTGTGTGAGACCTCCCTGGTGAGCCCAGGTCCCTTCTCCCAGCCAAGATGCACGGGACAGAGCTGCTGGGGACTGGCTTCCCCACCCCACCCTTTTCAAGTGGCTCACTAAGAGGGCTTGGTTACAGGGCCCAGCCAGGGCCAGGAGACCTGGAGGGGGACTGGGTGTGTACCCAGGACCAGCAGCCAAAGTGGCAAGGCCAGCCGGGACCCCCTACACCTTTGGCCCATTCTGAGGAGAAAGGGAGACCCAGCCCCAGCAGGGCAGTCAGGAATGGCGACCCCAAGGCCTGTCCTGCGAGGGAAGGGCAGGAGCCCACATTCCCTCTCTCCTTGCCCTGCACAGCTGGTTGCTGAGGAAGAGAAGGTGGTCCCTGAGTCAAAGACCTTTGACTCACCCCACCTGCCCTCTGCACCCACAGCCTCTGACCCACCCTGTCCCCTGTCCAGGGCTACAAGATGGATGACCTGCTGACTTCCTATGTGCAGCAGCTCCTGAGTGCCATGGACAAGCAGAGGGGCTCCAAGGCCCCAGCCCTGGCCAGCACCTAGCGGCAGATGCTGGCATGTCCGCTCAGGCTCCTTCCTGACCTCTAGCCTGGCAGCACCTTCCCAGGCCCCCTCAGCCCAGGGCCTGTCCTCGGCTGGCAGCGTTCCATGCCACTCCCCACACAAAGCCCACTCGGCCTTCCAGACAGCCCCGTCTGTCTCAAACACTGCTCATGGAGGCCAAAAGACCGGCTCAGAGTGGGGTCGGGAGTCTTGGACCCCCAGGCTGTTGGTGGATGGCTGAGAGTTCCCCCCCACCCCACCAGAATGTTTAATAAAAACCCCTGGAGAGAGGAAGTGAGCATGTCTGAGGGAACAGTGTGGGGCACCAGGTGGACAGGGGGCCCGGGAGGCGCTGGCTCTCAGAGAGCCGCAGAAAAAGCGAAATGCCGTGTGGCTTCCCCAGGGTACCCGGAGGGCAGCTGCATTCTCCAGAATGACCTCATCCTTCCCTCATTCTGTTTCCTTCCTCCCTTCCTCCCCCTCCCTCCCTTCCTTCGTGTTCCTCAGACTGGGGAGGGGCACTCACGGGAGAGTCCTCCTCCCAGGCCCCTCCTCACACCTTCTGCCCTTCCCCCGGGCACTGAGATAGCCGCACTACCCCAGGAGGCCAGGGCAGAGGTGCCACCCTCTCGCTGCCGCTTCATGCTAAGGCCAGCCTAAGGACAGTGGGCAGAGCTGGACACCACCTCTGAGGCCTGGACTCTGCCACCTCGCTGGCACGTCCTGTCCCTGCCCATTCCCTGCTCTGCCCATTGGGCCAGCTTATGTGGACCCGGCCACCCATGTCTGTGGGGTCCTGGCTGGGCTAGTCTTCAAGCTTTGATGGCAGCCTGGCCCAGGATGGAGGTTAGGACCCCCTGAACTGTCTGATGTCTGTCCCTCTGTTCAACAACCCCACCAGTGGCATGTCCAGAGCCGCTGGCATCCCCTCCACCTCCCACCCCTGACGCAAACCACGCAGGCTGCTGCAGTTGTGTGAACAAGACTTCATTGTGCAAGCGTGAGCCCTGCACCAGGTCTGCACTGGCCACAGACGAAGCGTCCTCCCTGGAGGTGGGAACGAGCCACCTCTGACCCCACCACCTCCTGGCCCCTGGCCCCACCCAAAGGCTCAACACAGGTCCCAAGGTAGGGGAAGGGGAACCCAGGTGGGTAGCCAAGGTGGGATTCCAGGAAGGCCTTCTGCGGGATGGAGGTGGGTCTTCTCCCTCCAGGTAGCTTGTGGGTGTGGACAGAGGACTTGCTGGCTCGGTGTGGGCACAGGGACACTGTGCCACTGGTTGAGTGAGTGGTGAGAGAAGAGGATGGCTCCCAGAGGCCTACATCTGAGTGGCTCTGGCCCTGTGGCTCCCACAGGCTGCCCTGGCCGTGGGTAGCCCAGGAACCACATGTACTTAGCGGGGCCACTCTGGGGCGGAGGCTCACACAGGACAGCACGCGCTACCGAGCCACCTGGGCAGGGCCAGGCCGGGCCAGGTCAGGAGCTGTGATGCAATTTGCTCCTGTCCCTGGAGGTCTGTGGGCAGAAGCTGCAGGCACAGGTGGACGTGGCTGTCAGACGTGGCCCAGCCCATCACAGGCTCCCACTCCCCAGCTCCTGCCTCCTCACAGAAAGAAGCTACAGCCAAGGAGAGGAGAGACCTGGGGAAGGCAGAGCTGAGAGAACAGGAAGGGAAGAGGCAAAGAGTAAAGAGAAGGGGAGGGTGAGATGCAGAGGGCCGCAGGTGGACAGGGACGAAGGGCCACGCGTCAGCAGGAGGGGAGAAGGCGGAGGGGCCGAGCTGCAGCCGGTCAGGGGCGCTCGGGTCTTCAGGCAGAGCTGAGGTCCGAGGCCTTGGGCTGGGTCTTGCGTGAGGTCAGCTCCGACAGCTTCTTCAGCCGCTTCTTCAGCTCCAGCGGGAACTTCTCGTAGCACCTCTTACACACAGGCTTCATGTCGAACTCCACAAACTTGTTCCTGGGGAGGAAGCCGGTCTGTCAGCAGAGCCCCACACCCTCCACTTTAACCCCAGACAGGTGACCATGGAGGCAGAAGAGCGGACTTTCCCCTGCCCCCAGCCTCCCCACAGCCGCCTCTCCCAGCCAGCAGGCCAGGCCCCAGGCTGAGCTGGCCAGAGAGTATAGAAATGAGAACCGTCTATGGCTCCCCACTGCCCTTGGAAATATGGACGCTGTCTCTCCTCTCACAGCTCCAGCCATCCCACACCCCTTGAGCCTTTCTGGATGCGCAGCTGACACTGCTGTCTTTGCCTATGCTGTTTCCTGGGCTGGAAAGCCCTTCTCTCCCCAGAGCCCAGGTTTCTGGCAGGTGTGTTAGAGGAGCGAGTGTTCCTCTTCCTCTCACTATGCCCTGTGACTCCCTGGACCTGCCCCCATCTCCCTGGGTGTTGTGGGGCCAGGTTGCCCCTTGTCCCCACCATATCCCCAGGTCAGACCCAGCCGGTGTGCAGGACAGCTACTGAGAGGGAGGACCCACAGGAGCCCCTCCACCCTGAGCCCCACCCCATGATCACAGGCACTCACTTCAAGGTGAGCCTGCTGTTGCAGGTGGAGCAGGAGAAGCAGTTCACACACCAGGCCTTGTTGAGGGCTGACACCACTGCAGGGGAAGTGTGAGACTCAGCAGGGACTCAGCCTGGCCAGGCTGCCCAGCTGGACTCACAGCTGCAGCACCCAGGCCCCAGAAGAGCAGGTGGGGTAGGGGGAGGGAACACAAGGCCTCACCATCGCCTTCGATCACATGACTGCAGTTGTAGCAGACGTCCCCGAAAAGCTGCGGGCCGAGTAGGCTGTCAGAGCGGCTGCCAGCGGTCACTCCCCAGCCAGGGCCATCATGCCGCCGGACTGGCCTTCCAACAAAGCCCCTCTCAGGCATCTCCCAGGCCCTGCTGCCAGGCTGGGATGAGGGCACTGCAGCCCATTAGAGCAACCCCCAACCCCTGGGAAGGACATCAGGCTGGGCATTGCTCCCCAGAAGGCCCCTTTGTTCCGGCTGCTACTGCTGTCCAGAAAGGAGGTGAGCCCGGGTGGTGACCTCACCTCATCAGCCTCCCCTGCCTTCGGTCCCAGAGCAAGGGAAGGCGGGGCTTGCTGGCACTGTCAGCCCCACGTGCCCAGGACCTCACACCCACCCCAGAACATTCTTCTAAGGAAGACACTGAGGCTGAGAGAGCTGCCCAGGACTCAAGACCCCAGGCCAGGAGCCAGGGCTGAGGCTGCAGGCCCGGACCCACCACCTGGCACAGCTCCCGAGGGGCCGCCCACAGCCTCCCCTGCAGAGCTCCCAAGGGGCCGCCCGCACCCTCCTGCCAGCCCTCCAGCCCACGTCCCTGAAGCCTCTGCACCGGCTCACCTGGTTGTAGTGGGTCTCACAGTAGGCCAGGCCCTTCTTCTCATAGTGCCGGTGTCCCAGGAATGGCTTCTCACACTTGGCGCAGACAAAGTGCTGCAAGGAGAGGGTGGCCGGTGGCATCAGGGCTAGAGTGGTGACCCCGAGGGACAGTTGGTGACCCAGAGGACAGCAGTGACCCCAGGAGCCATTGGTGACTCCAGGGAACAGCAGTGACCCCAGGAGACAGCAGTGACAGAGGGGACAGGAAGCAGGGGCTGGGCGGGTGAAGACCTTTCGGGATTCACACTGTGGGGGAGTTGACACCTCCGTGGATGCTCTGGGCTCAGCAGACCCTGCCCGTCCTCTACGGCACTGACGGTAACCTTGCACGTCACCATCCCCTTCCAGTCTGGCCTGCCCCTCGGCAGCCTTAGCCCCAGGAGTCAGGCCCTGCCTGTCCATGTGGGGCCTCCTGCAGGCGTGGGAGGTGAGCAGCACTTGCATTCCCCTGGGATTCTGCATGTGGGGATGAAGGCTGGGGGCTGGGGACTGGGGCCTGCATCAGGGCAGGATGGCATGGCTTCCCACTCACGCTGCCACCCAAGGCACAGCTTCTGGACACAGCGCTGGCCAGGTCATCAGGGAACATGGTGGACTCACTGTTCCCAGTGTACCCGTGAGAACATGAGAGTCCACACCCAGCGGGGACACTGCAGGTGACCCAGCATGCACACCTGAGGAACTCTCCAGCTCCATGTCTGCACAGGGCTGTCCACGCAGCAGGTTCTGTCAACCACAGCCCCCCAGGCACTCTGGGCAGACTGCCCCCACGGTTTTCTCCAGACTTTGGAGTCTCTTAGAATGCCAACGTGGGGAAGAGGAGAGGTGGGCACAGCTACCCAACCATGTATGTGCACTGGTGTCTCCTGGCTCCTGTGGGCAGGCTGGGATCCCTGGCTGAGCACAGGGAGGGGCAGTACCCCAGAGGAAGGGCCTCGCCGGGAGCCATCCACATGGCCTGGGCTGGGAGTATGGAGGGGCTTCAGGGCTCTGACTGTGACCCTGAGCTGGGGCACTTCCCCAACCTGAGGCCATGTGCCCGCCAGCCTGGCTCACCTCCACGTGCCACTGCTTGCCCAGCGCGTTGACCACACGGCCCTCGATGGGCCGGCGGCAGGCCCCGCAGATGGGGACGCCCATCTTGTCATGGCAGGGCAAGCAGTAGAGCTCACCCTTCAGCTCTCGGGCCTCGGCCGTCAGCTCCTTCCTGGAAGACAACGTGCAGACCCCAGGTGCCGTCCCTGCCCTTCTGCAGGGTCATGCCAGCGCCTCCAGCCTGGGACACGGCTCCCTGAGGGGCCATTCTGTCCCTGCAGAGCCGAGGCGGCTGCTCCCTCTGATCTCTAGGCCCTTTGAAGGCTTCCTGTGCCCCAGACAGACCCTGGAGCACAGACTTCCCGCACAGCCCAGAAGAGTGGCCTGTGTTCTGCACCCAGGCCTGTGAGAAGTGGGTCTGTTCTCGGGCCCCCCCTCCTCTTCCAAACCAGACTGGGTGTCTTGGATAGGCACGGAGAGGACTGGAGGGGACGGTGGGGGTAGGCAAAGAGGGGGTGGAGGGGCTGGCTATGCCACTCCTCTCTTCAACACCAGCACCAAGCACGCTCCCGGTCTCTTCCCCTCCCCCTCTACCCCTCAGGTCTCTTCTGCCGCTCCAGCTCAACCCTCTCGTGAGGTCTAGGAGCCTAGCCCACCCACCCCCTGAGTCTCAAGTGTCCCACTGGCACAGAGCCCTGGAGAGAGAAGCTTCCTGCCTGGCCGATTCATGGCCCCTGGCCCACCTCCGCCCTGCAGCCCCACTCTCAGCACCCCTCTCTCTGCCCACCCTGCTCACCTCTCCAGCCTCAATACTTCCCTGAATGAAGGACCCACCACTCCTTTCCTGGTTCAGCCCTGGCGCCCCGCCTGCCCCCACTGCAGGGCTGGGCTGTACACCTACCCACAGTGGGTGCAGTTGAAGTGGTCAGGGTGGTAGGCGTCGCTCCTGAACATCAGGGGCTGCTCGTCGATGACCAGGTGGCACCGCTGGCAGATGTACTTGCCCAGGCCCTTGGCCTTCTCACGGTTGTGGCAAGGCCGGCAGAGATGCCTGTGGGAGGCAGGGGCATTAGGGGCAGACCCCCCACTCTCAGATAGCCCGGCCACCTCCAGAAGAAGAAAGCCTGGACCCCTGCAACTCCGCTGAGCAGCTGGGGGCTTCAAAGGGGCTCATCCAGGGTTCAGAAAAGCATGCTGCCCAGTCACAAGGCCCAGAAGGCCACAGGTGCACCCTGGAGATGGGACCTGTGCTCCGGGAGAGGATCGGCAGGAAAGACACCAGAACTCGAGCCTTCACTGTCTCTGGGTGGTATTTCTCCTCTTTCCACTTTTTCTAAGTCTAGGGAATGGTGCAGAATAGAGCAGACATTTAATGGATATCTGCTGAAAAATTGTTTTATTTTCCAAATGTATTTAACACCACAAGTTACAGTGAATGCCACTGTGCCCAGCAGGGTGGCCAGGGAGTGCCCGGGAGGTCACTCGCCCCTTTCCTTTGGGGTTTGCTAGATGAAGAAAGGCCCAAACATGTGCAGGCACTTTCTGTGTCCAAAATACAAGCACCGCTATGTCAGACGGAGGCCCCAAACCCAGAAGCTGTCATGACAGAGTCTTTTTGTGAAGGCCTCAGAATAATTTCTGATGCTACTCACTGTGCTGGACAACAGCTGTGTTCTCAGCTGACAGAGAAATCAACATGGGTTCTGTTTCCTTGGACCTCAAAGGTGGTGGGAATCTAGACTCAGAGTCCCCAGGCAAAGATACACAAAGGCCCCAAGCCAACACCCCTGCCCCTGTTCCCACCTGCCCCCCCAAATCTATCTCTGGTGCTCCTGCTGCATCCAGGCCTCCTTTCCCAGACCCCCGGCCCCAGGGGCCCTCTCCACCCCCCACCAGCCTCCACAGCCCCCCAACACCCAGTGTCTGCCCCTCCGACAGGCTGATCAGGGAAGATACTGAAGAGATCCAATCTCAGACCCAAGATGCCCACCCAAGTTATGGAGGGCAGACCCCAGATGTCAGGGCCACCAATTCAGTGTCCTTCCCTGGACCCCAGGGGTCTGCTACTGCTGCGTCTGGACTCCACCCTGCATAGCACTGTGCTCCATCTGCCCTGGGGTGTCTCCTCGTCAGCTGTGTGCAAGGCAAGGGGCACAGGCAAAGGCCCAGCCACCACTTGCTAAGCTGCTCACTGGCTCTCTGTGCCTCCCCGAGACCCTACGTGCCCAGCATGGGGCAGCAGCTCAGGGTCAGTCGATTGAATGCCTGGGTGAATGACTGTGCAAGACAGGAAGGGGGCAACGATGGGCATCATCTCCCTCAACAAGTGGCCAGGGCCCCGGCTCTTACACCCAGAAGTGGGAAGCACTTGTGGCCTGTGGCTTCAGTCTTCATCACCACGATTCCTGAAGCCCATCCTTGCCCAGTCACCTGTACTCCAGGCACAGCCCTAGGCCACCTCCTCAGCAGGTCTGGGGCTGAGCTGTCCCACCTGGTGCCTGTGACAGCCAGCCCATGTTCCCCACAGGGCCTCTGTCCCAGACTAAGCATTTAGGCCCATGACCCCACTCCATATTCTGGTGATTCCTCCTGAGTGTCAGGACAATACTCAACCCATGAGGAATTACTTCTGTTTCAAAACTACAGAAATCAGCTCAATGCCCCAAAACCATCGCCATGGTCAAGGCCCTTGAAGCCACGGACAGTGATCACCCCAATAACAGAAGGTCTGCGAGCCCAGAAATGCCTGCTCAGGGTAGCTAGCTTCAAGCAACCACCTTTCTAGCCAGTGTGAGCCAATTCTTCCAGACAGCCACCTGCCGGCACAACAGGAAAGGGACCTGCGCCCCAGCTCAGACACCTCACACCCGACTGACTCTCAGGCCAGACAAACTGGGAAGCCCATCTCTCTGGAAGGAAGTCTAGATGGAAAACAGCTTCTCAACAGACCCCATCACAGCACCAGATCTAAAGGTGATCTTCAGGATTCTTTGTCAGGTTCAATTAGGATAGAATTGAAGAATTTTAATTCAAAATGCAGCAGAAAACCAAAGCAAAATAAACGTGCACATGAAGCCTAAGTCCTGGAGTGACACATGCTTGGGTTCAAATCCTGGCTCTGTCGCTTCCTACTGTTTGCTGATGGGTGAGTTTCTTCCCTTGTCTGGGCCTCAGTTTCCTTGTCTGTAAAATGGGGCAATAATCCCAGCTGCAAAGGGTTAGGTGAAGAGACAAGTGGAAATAGTTCGTGTGATAGGCAGGCACTCCTTAAATGCTAGTCACATACATAAAGTTTTCGATGTTTTAACAACAAAATATAGTCTTTCGAAACCAGGAAGGGTGATTTGGTTTCCCATGTCTTCGGATGTATCATTTTTAGAAAGGGAAAAACTAACTTTGTTACCTCAGTCTCAGAGGCAGCCACCAGCAGCACTCACAGGCACTCCAGCCCGGAGCCACCCCAGAGAGGGGCCCCAGGGCCAGTGGTCAGATTCGGATCCACCGGGGCTCCCGTGCAGAGGAGGAGCTGCAGCGACGGACGGCCTTCGAGCTGAGTCTCGTCCCCGCAGACAGGACAGCACCCCATTATGAGGCTCCTGCAGCTGTGCCTCACTCCAGATAAAGGCCATGATTTATTTTGCATGCCCAAATGGGGCCTCATTATACAGGGCAGGACACAAGGACCCTACAGCAAGTGTCCTCAAAGAGTCGCCTCTCACTCGGTGAGCAAGACTCTTCGGCCTCCCACCCTGCATTCACAGGCTCTCCCCCACATCCCCCCAACTCCGCCCCGGCTGTCTGTGGCACAGGCCTGGGAGCACGGCCTGTTGCCATGGCAGCCGGCCCCTCCCTGCCCCCATCAGTAGGAAATCATCCCGTTCTGAAACGTCCTGTTGTGTCCGTCAGCCCCAGCCCGAGCCCCCCACCCAGCCCCCGCCTGCTCCAAGGCTCCGAGACAGTCACACACTCAGCCTCTGTGGCCAAGCCAGGGGCGGGGTGGGGGGGCACAGGCTGGGGACACACTGGAATATTCACGCTTCAGTGGCAGCAGCGGCAGCCAGAGGAGTCACCCGCCACACAAGGGACCCCTCAGGAATGAAGAAGCCTTTCAGGGCCAGAGGGGCTGTGGTCTCCCTTCCTCTCCTTAAATAGCCAGCCTTCCACCCACAGAGGCACAGAGCCCCCTGCTACCACCGCCACTCACGGGCAGAGATCACCTGCTACCCGCAGACCCCTGCCCCTTCCTCCTGGACCAGCAGCTAGAGGTAAGGGGCAGGCTGGGTGGGACGGGCCGGGAGCCCAGGGCTAAGCAGAGGAAGCACAGTGGGGAACACTGCCCGGGGAGGCAGGCAGCAGCCTGTCACATCCCATCTCTGTGGTAACGGTCTGACCTATGCATTGAAGGCTGACCACAGTCTGAATTCACAGCAGCCCACAAAGCAGCGTTTTGTCCCTCTGTCGGGGGATCACAGAGGGAAGTGGCTTGCTTGCAGTCCAGGCTGCAATGACAGCACCCCTGCCCCTAACCATTAGGCAGCCTTGGCCCACAGAGGAGTCAGATGCCTGGGAGAGAGCTCAGGCTGGGAATAGAGTGGCACTAATGCAAAAGAAACTGCAACCACTTGGCCACGGCGCTGCCACCACAGGCCCTCCCCGAGGCCACTCAGGCCCACCCGCCACCTGCACAGAGACCTAAGACCTGTCCTAGATGCTCACCTCACCCACAGCCGTGGGACCCAACACTGCCCAGGCCCCGGCTGGCTCCACGCCCCTTCCTCAGGGAAACCGCTCAGTGGCCGTCTGAGCAGTGAGCCTTGAGGAGCCGGGGAGTCTAGGGCAATGCAGGGTGAAGCACGGCCCAACTCAGACCAAACTGCAGACGTCAGTATCAGAGCTGCTCAAACAGGGCACAGAAAGGGAGGAGAAACCTCAGCAAACCTGAGACAAAGCGGTCTAAAATGGAGTCTCAGTCCCAGAGAGACAGGGGCACGCAGCCTTCGGCCTGGGCAGGAAGCTGAGGGCAGTGCCTAGGCAGAGGCCCCCAGGCCGGAGGCAGCAGGTGCCACAAGCCCACCCAGTGCTACAAGACACGCAAGCCCTGCAGTCACTCAGGGCCCTGCGCCCAGTCGTGCTCTGCAGTCACTGTCTTCAAACTTCCCTTTTGAGCAAGGGGCTGCTTATGCTCATTTCATGCTGGGCCCCTAAAATTAGGGAGTGATCCCGGGGCCAGGCTCCAAGGAGGAGGTGCTGAGCCTGGGAGATGACTCCAGGACAAGCTCTGAGACCGAGTCACACTCCCTGTCTTGGCTGAGACACCCTGGCGGTCTCCAGAGGCAAGACAGTGCCCTGGGGACCCAGGGCTTCCCTGGTTTCATTTCCAGCTCCAGGGCCAATGTCCCCTGGTCAAGGGACCTAACTTTAGCTGACACTCAGCCTTGATTCCCTAATCTGTAAAATGGGGCTATGAACTCCTATCTCTTCAAACTGGTTTGAGCCAGCACAGGCAGGCCCCCGCCATGCCAGGAAGAATGGGTGGTGGCACCTCTGAGCTGCTCTCTTGTGGGGCTGGGTGATGCCTGCACTGTGGGGCACAGTACAGGCCCCAGGGACAGCCCGGGGTGGACGGCACTCACCTTGCCCCTTCCACCCCCAGGTTCTAACAAGAGCCCCTCACTCCCTGGGCCCCCTCACCTCTTCCAGTCTCCAGGGCTTCCTCGCTCACACTCTTCTCCTCTCCTGCCAACCTGCAGACAGCACACTGTGTGCCCCTCCCCTCCTCTGTGGGCCATCCTGCCTGCCCTGGAGCCCTGCTCCTCCAGTCTCGGGGTCCTCATCCCCAGCACGTGCAACATGATACCCTCAAAGTCACAGTTCCTGCCCTGCCCCACCAGCACCTACTCTGTGTCCTCCCATCCCCCGCTCCTATGTCCCTCCCTTCTTTTACCTCTCATCCACAGCCCTTCAGAGCCCTCAGACCTTCCCCAGGGCTCCATTCAAGCTTGTCCCACTCTCCCAAGCATCACTCAGCTCTTTGCCCCTTACTGTGGTTTTAGCGGTCCCAGGGAAAGTGCCAGCCAAGACCATCCAGTCCAAGTCAGAGGACTGTGGAGCTGGAGTCCTGAGGAATGGGGTCCCCATGAGGAAATCCACACTGGACTAAGAACAGACCCTGTTCCTGGAAGCAGCAGGAAAGCACCTCTGGTGTTAGAACTTCAGACATCCTGAAACACTCTGAAGTGGGGGGGCCTAGAGAAATAGCTAAAAGGTGATATTATTAGGCAGGTGCCCCCCCTTTGCTTGAGGACATAGATGGCCAGGTGCTCAGGCCAGCCCTCACCCTCCGTGTGAGAACCACAGCAGCTGGCCGCTCGCTCTCCTGAAGGAGGAATGCGGGCCCTCCCACCCTTCCCTAAAGCCACCTCCTCCATGTGAGGACGGCTCCAGCCTTCTCCTCCAGGGGCGACTGTGCCCCTGAGCAGTCATCATGCCCACTCTGCCCCGTGCCACCAGCATCCTGAGGTAGTCCTGGGAGTCAGTACGAGGAGAGGGACTGGGCATGGTGGCTCATGCCTGTAATCCCAGCATTTTGGGAGGCCAAGGAGCCCAGGAATTTGAGACCAGCCTGGGCAACATGGCAAAACCCTGTCTCTACCAAAAAATACAAAAATTAGCCAGGCGTGGTGGCATGAGCCTCTAGTTCCAGCTACTCAGGATACTCAGGAGCCTGAGGTGGGAGAATCAGCTTGAGCCCTGGAGGTTGAGGCTGCAGTGAGCTGATTGTACCACTGCACTCCCGCCTGAATGACAGAGCTAGACAAAAAAAGGAAACTGAGACTGGGAGAAATGTGCAGAGTGAATTTGCTGCAGGCAGGTCCCCGGCACTTGGTGCAGAGCAGGCTCAGCCAAGATGAGGACCGTGCAGGATACCAGCTTCTCTCCTGCAAACCTCTCTCCAGCCCCTGCTTCAGCCTGGCTATGCACGGTAGGGATTGTGGGTACTGGGCGGCTGGGCTCTCAGAGGAGCCCCAGAAGCTGTGCCATCATCAGCACCCACCTGGCCAAAGCCTGCTGGGGACCCCGATTCGAAGGCAGGCCCAGCCCAGCGTCCTGCCCTGTTCAGGGCTACAGGTTGCTCTTGCCCACCACCTGCCCTCTCCTGCCCACACCCCCAATCGCAGGCCTGGGTTGGGAAGCAAGGTGTTTGGGACCCTCCCTCTCCTTCTTGAATCTCCTGAGTTGTCAAAAATCAAAACAGGAGTGGGTTTCCCTGTCTGCTGAGGGTGGGAGGCACCCTATCCAGACCCAGGGTTCACCAGATGGATATGGCTTGTTACCCAGCCCTGTCATGGGGCTCTGCACTTGGCTTTCCAAGGTGAGAAAGCCCGGGGGCCTCCAGGCCTCTCTGGGGCTGCAGATCTGACCTGGACAGCCCTGGACAGTCTCTCTGCCTCTGGGTAAAACACATCTTCCCTCCTGGAAGAGTCGCTGCCTCCTGGTGGTAGATCTACTCTGGCACAGAAAATGCTCCCAGCTGGCCTGATGCCCAGCACAGGCTTCTTCTAGCACAGGTCTCCACCTGTTAGGAAGTCCAAACAGAGTTGGTGGGCTGGGAAAGCCCCCAAGAGATGCTCAGGCAGGTAGAAGAGCAGACCTCTGACCTCCCAGGACACCGCCCTTGCTGCCATCCTGGGGGCACCATCCTGAGTCAGGTGCTAGGGGAACTGTGGTCAGGCACCAGCAAGGGAAGCAAAAAGTGGTGACACCCTGGCCACTGCACTTGTGAGCAGGTGGGTCAGAAAGGGTCCAGGAACTCAGGTTGAGCGGAACTCGCCTGCCAAGGCTAGGATTGAGGAGGAGCTGGAGTCACAGAGACACACTGCCCCCGCCCCCACCACCCCTGCCCCTCAGACAGCACACCTCAGGGGCAGAACAGAACACCCAGAGCCTCACCCAGGTGGGTCCCAAGTCCCATTCCCTGCCACAGCACCCACCCAGCCTCCCAGCTTGGAGGAGCCTCGGATCTCCCGGGTGGCAGCAGTGCAGCTGCACAGCAGGGAAGTGCCAAGCCCTGGTTTCGTATTTGCCTGTGCTGAAGTTCAGAATGCCTTTGACGCTCATGCACCCCAAATGGACAAGGAGGTCCCCTCAGCAGGTCCGTGGCAGTGCTGAGCTTGAAAGCGGGAGGTTCTGAAGGCATCGGAGGCCTAGTTTCTGGAGTTGGAGAGTGTGAAGCTGCGTGGGTCGCAGGCTCATTATAAACTGTTTGCTTGTTCCCTCCAGGCTTGTACCCAGCTCTGTCTCCACACAAAGCATGAATGGCCTTGAAGTGGCGCCCCCAGGTCTGATCACCAACTCCTCCCTGGTTATGGCAGAGCAATGCGGCCAGGAGACACCACTGGAGAACATGCTGTTCGCCTCCTTCTACCTCCTGGATTTTATTCTGGCTTTTGTTGGCAATGCCCTGGCTCTGTGGCTTTTCATCCGAGACCACAAGTCAGGGACCCCGGCCAATGTGTTCCTGATGCATCTGGCGGTGGCTGACTTGTCATGCGTGCTGGTCCTGCCCACCCGCCTGGTCTACCACTTCTCTGGAAACCACTGGCCGTTCGGGGAAATCCCATGCCGCCTCACCGGCTTCCTCTTCTACCTCAACATGTATGCCAGCATCTACTTCCTCACCTGCATCAGTGCTGACCGCTTCCTGGCCATCGTGCACCCGGTCAAATCCCTCAAGCTCCGCAGGCCCCTCTACGCGCACCTGGCCTGTGCCTTCCTGTGGGTGGTGGTGGCCGTGGCCATGGCCCCACTGCTGGTGAGCCCGCAGACCGTGCAAACCAACCACACGGTGGTCTGCCTGCAGCTGTACCGGGAGAAGGCCTCCCACCATGCCCTGGTGTCCCTGGCTGTGGCCTTCACCTTCCCGTTCATCACCACGGTCACCTGCTACCTGCTGATCATCCGCAGCCTGCGGCAGGGCCCGCGTGTGGAGAAGCGCCTCAAGAGCAAGGCGGTGCGCATGATCGCCATGGTGCTGGCCATCTTCCTGGTCTGCTTCGTGCCCTACCACATCAACCGCTCTGTCTACGTGCTGCACTACCGCGGCCGTGGGACCTCCTGCGCCGCCCAGCGTGTCCTGGCCTTGGGAAACCGCATCACCTCCTGCCTCACCAGCCTCAACGGGGCGCTTGACCCCGTTATGTATTTCTTCGTGGCTGAGAAGTTCCGCCATGCCCTGTGCAACTTACTCTGTGGCAAAAGGCTCACGGGCCCACCCCCCAGCTTTGAAGGGAAAACCAACGAGAGCTCGCTGAGTGCCAGGTCAGAGCTGTGAGCAGGGGTGCCATCCAGGCCAAGCGCCGACCATTTAGGACTCAGCAGACTCAGCAAGAGGCACCTGCCCTTGCCCCAACACCTCCCCAGCAGAAGGCCTGAAATCTCAGCAGGTGCCCACTGTTTCTTTGGATCCCCTAGTCTCAACCCCTAAAAAGGGAGAACTGATTAAGGGGATCTGCCACCCGGCACTCTGCAGGGGCTTGGGATGCTTTCAGTGGCTCATAGACACTCAGCAACCTCACCCATAGCAGGGAGAGAGGAGGCCGGAAGAACAACCCCTGAATACAAAGGAGGTCTTTCTTTCCCACTAGGCTCCCAGCCTCCTTCCTGCTAAAGAGTCACGCAGTGGCAAGGCTCAGCAGAAAGACCAGGAAGGCAGGCTGCAAATGACCCAGAAGAGGGACCTGGGGATCCTGCGGGGGGGAAGAGAGGGAGTCTCAATATTCCTTTGCAGTGCAAGGTACTCTGGGTCCCCTCTGTGGTGCCTCCACCAGGCACCCCCTGCCTGAGTTGAAGGGACACAGGCCACACATTTCAGGCTGGCTGCTGGGGAACCTCAGCACTTGCAGCCTGCAGGGACCCAGCACAGCTCTGGATTCAGGATCCCTCCTGCTGTAATTCCATGCACAGACCTGCCACACCCAGAGCTCCTTGGCAGACTCCCAGGCCTCCCAGTCCTGGACAAGCACGTCCTGTGCAGTCACAGGAGCTAAGCTCAAGCAGGAGCTGGGCTATGCACCTGGCTCCCACCGACCCAGACCCCGAAGGGATGGCCCCGGCCCACTCCCTCCGGAGAGACCTCTCTGCCTGAGCTCTTTCTCTTGCTTGCGTGCAGATATCGCCCTAACATGCCCTTTTATACTTGTTTGGACAGATCATAAATGTAACTGTAGCTTTAAGACTACAAAGGTTATTGTGCTTGGTCAACATAAAGCGTCTTCCAGAACTTCTCTCTTTGACCCAAAAATGGCGGAGCGGTGGTGCAGTGGCAGAGGCAGCTTCTTGGGCTCTCTCGCTGGGGTGCTGGCAGCTCATAGTGCGTCGGCCCAGATTCTGAAGTTCTGCACTGTGGGCTTGGAGGACCGAGCGGCCACCCTCATTCCTCACTCTAGCTGCCGCCCTGCCCCGTCCTTACGACAATACACTTGTAGCACATTTGACCTTCCAAAGCACTTCAAGCATCTTCTGAATTTCCCCAACCAGCCCTTGGTTGGGGCAGTGACCCTGTGCAAACCTTGGCTCAGGAAGGAGATTAGACTTGCTCCACACACCGTCAGCGACACTGCTGGTCGGCACAAGCCCTGGTGCTGTCCCTTGGCCCCTGCCTTGCACTATCTGTCCCCTCAGCCTTTCATTTAGACAAGCTGCTGAATGCCAGGCACTACCCAGCCCCGAGGAGGAGCTGTGGGAGGCAACAGAGTCGGACAGAGAGGGTGTGGTGGGGATGCAAGGCTGGGGCCTGTGAGGGCGGCACTGCCTCCACTGACACCGGGAACACATGCACAGGCAGCCTTGGTGGTCAGTGGAGGAGAATCCCAAACTGCTCAGGCCCCATTGCATTTGGGATGCCTGGTGGATACCATGTGGAGGTGGCACGTGGGCAGCTGAGGACAGTGAGACAGAGGCCTGAGGCGGACCCCAGGATTGTCCAGACATGCCTGCCATTTAGGGCTCTGGGACTCTGTCTGCAAGGGCAGCCATGAGGGACGGGCACGGAGCCCCAGATGACCCCCCATGGAGAGACAGAGATGAAGGACCCCCCTGGAGAGACAGGGAGAAAGATGGCTCAGAGGAGGAGAGCAGGCATGTGCAGCTGCAGAGGTGGGCAGAACCACAGGAACACAGGGTCCTGGGCACCAGAGGGGGGCGTTTCTGCACCTCTGCAGCGGTGGTGAGGGCTGCTGAGGGGTCAGGAGGAGGTGTGGGTCCCTGGGCAGATGAGGCCTGGGTAGTGCACTGGAGGGTGGCACATGCACTGGGAGGAGCTGGGGAGGAAGGCCAGGCAGTGTTTTGAACCCAGCTCCCCCACCTGGCCCTTCAGAAAGAAAGAGAGTGTGGAGTGGAGAAGGGGGCCTTGGAGAAATGGTGGGATGGACAGGGCTCACAGACAGACATGGGGCTGTAGGGCATCCCAGAGTGGGGCCCAGGGAGGCGGGAGACAAGGCCACCTGTTACAGGGACAGTGCTCGGGGAGGGAGGACAAGAGAGCAAGGCTTCGCAGAAGGTAGGAACTTCCAGAAGACCCCTGAGGTCTGTGGCCCTGAACTTAGAGTAAATATGGGCATTTTCCTCCAGCCACACTGAGCTGCGCAGGTACAGTCAGGGGAAGGGGGACAGGTGGGGTCAGCAGTGGGGGTGGCCTGGGGTTGGAAGAGTGTGGAGATTTCTCTTGGCTCCCAAGAGGCCACCAGGAGCATGCTGAACCTGGGGCCCCGTAAACTAGGGCTGGACTAACTGCCCTGAGATGACGAGGAGGGTGACGTGGAGGGTAGGCAGCCACGTCAGTGCAGCCTGCAGAACCAAGACGCTGCAGAACTGAGACCCTGCCAGGCCCTCAGCCAGTGGATGGCACACAGGAGGGGCTGGCAGGCACGCTGGGAAGGGCTGTGGCCCCCCCCACTCCGGCCCAACACGGCCACCTCACCTGCCAGCGTTCTTCACAAAGCCCAGGTCAGCCAGCTCCACGTCACACAGCTCGCAGCGGAAGCAGCCCGGGTGCCAGTTGTTATTCATGGCCTTGATGACGCGACCAATGATGAACTCGCCTGGAAAAAGACAGGTCCCTGCTGGGCAGGAGGCGCATGCCCGTCCCCTCTTCGGGCCCTCCCAAGCCCCATCCACCTAGCACTCCACCTGCTCTCCACCTGGCCCATGGGCTCCCTCGTGGGATCGTGATGCCTGGGGCCTGAGGTCTGCTGCTCAGAGAGGCAGGGTGGGCGGTTAGGAAAGAGCTTGGCCAATTCTGTGTGCCCCTCATGCCCCCCTGCCTGCTGCCCACTTCCCAGACAGCACAGAGTGTGTGCTGTCACCTGCCTTACCGCAAGATCCACAGCACGGAGCAAACAGCATTTGGAAGTCATGTTCGCAGTACTTCCGGCCTTCAAACTGCAAAGGGGCCGCAGAGAGAGGACAAGCAAACCACCCATCATCCCCATGAGCCGCCCAGGCCCTTGTTGGGTCAGGACCTGACAGCAGGGGGAGGGGCACTGAGACAGGGCGTGCCAGGCAGAGGCTGGAGCAGTGGGTCCCAGGCCTGGCCAGCAGAGGACGCTGGCCCATTTGGGACGGCGGGTTGCAAAGGGAGGGGCCCCGGTGGAAGCTGGAGAGGTCTGCGAGGCCGTCTGTCAAGGGACCGCTGGTGTCTACTGAGGATCTGGGCCCTATTAGTCCTGAGAACAGGCAGGGGTCGAGGGGGGTTTAAGCCAGGAGGGATGAGATCAAGTTTGAAGGGTAGTGTCCCTCGGCCTTATTTCCGGTACCTTCTCTGTGGGAGAAGTCCAGCTCCCCAGTAGCCACGAAGACCAAGGGACAGGAGACAGAAGGAAGGGAACACAGGAAGGGCCCAGGCACCAGGGGTGGGAGGGGATGGGGGGCGGGAAGGGCCCGGGCATGGGGGTTGGTGGAGTGGGGAGCACAGGGCTACGGCCAGCAGGAGTCAGCCTACACACCCTCCAGGCAGCGCTGGCATCGAGGGTCCCTGTGCTGGCCACAAATGGAGCCAAAGCCTGCCTCTGCTTTCCTCTCTTTTAACAATTTTATTTCCTATATTTTAATTTGGTTTTTCCCCATTCTCTGAAATAAGTGTCTTATTAGACTGAACTGGATTTAGCCCTACTAAGTGACCTGTAGAGGCAGGAATGGCTTAAACTCTTTCAGCAATGGAAATCTGGGCACCTACTGTGTGCCAGGCTTTGTTGTGGGCACATGGCCACCCCTCCCACTGCCTCTACACTTGGTCAGCACTTCTCAGGAGGCTGAAGGCACCATGAGGAACGGTGGCTCCTGCTCTGCCAGGCAGACCACGCGCCCACATCCATGCACCAGCCAATCCCATCAGCTCTACCTCAAAACAGAGCCAGCATCTCACACCAGTCACCACCGTCATCACAACCACCAGTGGCATGCTGGTAAACGGAACAGCCGGCTCCCTGGGAGGCAGAGGCAGGCCCTGCTGTGCGGCGTTTGCCAATGTCCATGGTGTGAATATATCTGTCATGGCCAACTTCCGGCTGCCAATACGACATGGACCTGGACTTGAGGGGGAGCTGTGCAAAAGGACAGAAGTAACCCCAGCAGCACAGATAATAGTAAAATGTAACAAATAATTAGCAAGTGGTATGCTTTGAGTATCTGTTACCTCTGTTTTTAATAAAATGTTATCCCATTGTATGTTTGTATAATTTAATTTTTAACAATAGCTGTGCTGCACAACCAGCTCGCAAGATTGTTGATGGTTTAACGACGGCTCTTGTGAGCTGGTAGGAGCCCCTTCACTTTCATCTGGGCAACTGCACTAATTCAGCTCCTGGTCCCCCAGGCCTCACAGCCTGTTCCTGCCCCACCTCACCCCCTCTCCTCAGCACAGCAGCCAGAGGGATCCTTTTTTTTTTTTTTAAGACAGAGTCTTGCTCTGTAGCCCAGGCTGGAGTACAGTGGTGTGATCTTGGCTCACTGCAACCCCCACCTCCCAGGTTCAAGCAATTCTCCTGCCTCAGCCTCCTGAGTAGCTGGGATTACAGGCGCCCACCACCACGCGAGGCTCATTTTTTGTATTTTTAGTACAGATGGGGTTTCACCATATTGGCCAAGCTGGCCTCAAACTCCCGATCTCAGGTCAGGATCCACACGCCTGTGCCTCCCAAAGTGCTGGGATTACAGGCGTGAGCCACCGTACTCGGCCATGGCAACTTTTCTCAAATGTCAGCAGATGGCGTGACTCCTCTGCCCTACACCCCAAGGAGGCTCCTGTCTCTCGCAGAGCAGAAGCCTAAGGCTCTGTAGAGGCCCTTGGGGCCAAATGAGATCCACCTCCCCGTCCTCAGCTCCTGGCCCTCTCCCTCTCATGCCCTCAGCTTCCATCACACCAGCCTCCCTGCTGCTCTCCACACAACCCCACATTATCCCACCACAGGGCCTTTGCGTGTGCTGTGCCCTCTGCCCAGTGCTCTTCCTGCAGAGATGGACGTGGCTCCCTCCCCTCAGGTCAACCTAAACTTCACCTTTCCTGAGCATCACCGAACCCCACCCTGTGAGCCCTGAGCCCCAGGGCATCAGCATCGCTGGTGGGCCGTGGGGTTGCTATGCTCACTGTCTGGTCCCCATGGAGGCCAAGCAACACCAGGGCAGGCTCTTCCTGCCCCCAAGGCCTGCCCAGCATCTGCCCAGAGCAGGCTGGTGAAAGGTGGCTGTCTGTTAGCTCCCAGGGCACCTAGGGCGCTGTTCACGTCTCACAGGTGAAGGATGGGCCTGTGCAGAAGCAAGCCTGATTCTGGGCTGGCTCCAGGCCTGGCTCTATCAGCAGTCGGGACCACTGCATGGTGCCCGGGTCTGAGGGCAGACTCTAAGCTGGTCTGAAAAGGCCCTTAGGAGCATCCTCACCTCGTAGAAGAGCCCCTCGGGGAAGGGCCGAAAGCACTGGGCACACACGAAGCAGTGCTCATGGTACAGCTCCCCGTTGCTGTTGACGATGCGCTCGGCGGGGGCGAAGCGGGCCTGGCAGCGCTGGCACACGGCATTGGCCAAGGCATCTGACATGTTGCTGGAGGCGGGAGACAGGAGGGGTAAGTCAGAGCTGGGCAGGGGCACAGGAGGGGCACACACAGAGGCCTGCGCCCGACAGACACATCCCGGATTCAAAATCAGGAAAATTGCTCTAAGCCAAGGTCCAGGCCGCTCAGTGCTTGTAGTGCCCACCCCTTGGGGTGTCAGGTGCCAAATCAGCTCCCACCTGGGCCCCAATCTCCCCTTCCTCGGGAACCAGAGAGTCTCAGGCACAGAACACCACCCAGCGCAGGTGAGCGGCTCTGTATTTGCACTCTTATTTCATCCCCAAGGCAACCTGGCAGCTACTATTATTGTGGCCTCTTCCAGATAAGGGACCTGAGCCTCAGAGAGGTTGAGTAACTGGCCCAAGCTCACGAAGCAGAGTGGGCTCCATACTAGAACCCAGACTGCTCAGTCTTCCACGGTCCCATCCTCTGCACCATGAGTTAGTTTCACACCGACTGCCTCCAATAAACACATAACCACCCAACCACGGAGAAGGCAAGAGGGTAGTCAGGTGCAGCGGCTCAAGTCTGTCATCCAGAGCACTGTGGGAGGCCAAGGTGGGTGGATCCCCTGAGCTCAGGAGTTTGAGACCAGCCTGGGCAATATGGCAAGAACCCATCTCTAAGAAAAATACCAAAAAAAAAAAAAAAAAAAATTAGCCTGATGTGGTGATGCAAGCCTGTAGTCCCAGCTACTTGGGAGGCTGAGGCTGCAGTGAGCTGTGCCTATGCCACTGCCTCCAGCCTGGACAACAGAGTGAGACCCTGTCTCAAGAAAAACAAAGGCAAGAGTGTGGATCTTTGAGATGAGACAGTGAAGGGAGCAGATCTCATCTGTGCTGGGCACTGCCTGTCCCCTGAGTCAGTGCTGGGTTTCCTTCTGGGAGGGGTGAAGTGCAAACTACAAGGGAAAAGCCCAGAGTGAGCCAAGCCCACAGTCAGTCCAGTCCCAGTGCCCTTCGGCACGACCAGGAGGGGTCTTTTAGACTCAGAAACAGGGTTAGGATGTAGCCCTAAACACCCCAACTGCCTCTACGACCTTCAGAAAACCAGACACCCCACACCTTTGACTAGAAAGGGAGAACACAGGTTCTGTCTCAGCATCAACTCCAGTGGGTCAGTTGTGGCGGCCTGGAGGGGTGGGCAGAGAGGGAGCCTCAGGCTTGCTGGGGAGTGATGCCACCAGCTGGTAACGTCTGCCTGGGTACAGCCAGGGCATGGCAGGACTCGAGTGCAGTGCCTTTGGGAATACCTCTCCACCTGCTCTGCCTCCCAGGATGAATCCCACCCAGCAGTCACTCACTGCTGTGGCATCATGAGGGGAATGCTTGGTGAGTGAGGCTCCTGTCAGGCTGTTCTGAGGCCTGTGATCTGGGCGGGGTCAGCCTGAACAGTGCCAACCACAGGGAAGCGGGGCCTTAGACAGGACAGGCCTAGGGCTGGAGGCCAGGGCTGCGCTCAGCTGTGAGCTCTGGCCATAAGCTGTGGACAGAAGGTTTCACAGGATGCTGCTGCCACATGGAGATGGACTGGAAATCTGGAAAGGGCACCCAGGCTGCCGTCCTTTCTTCTCTGCTTAAGGACTCATGTGGCAGAGGCCGGCTGAAAGGCCATTCGGCGACACTTTCTGGGCATGCTGAACTTCCGTCCACCCTGGCCTGCCCTCTGGTGTGCTTAGGAGACCAAAGCCCCCACCTGAGCCCACATTTAGGCCAGAGGAGCAAGGAAGCAGAGGTGGTGGCAACATGGGTTGGAAAGAACCCAAAAAGAAAAGATGTTTTGGCACCCAGCAGCCAGTTCTCGGTCCTCTCAGGTCTCTGCTGGTCTCTACGGGGCAGGCCAGGCAGGCCACCAGGGTGGAGGCTGGCCCCAAGCCACCCTAAGGGTTGGGCTGGGCTTCCCTAGGACAGGCTTGGTTTCCTTCCTGGAGAATGCTGTGAACCTCCTCTTCTGAAACACACACCCAAGGTGGCAGGGAGGACGGTACAGTGCCTGACCATGAACGAGACCTTGGGAGTCTTAGAGAAATCAGAAATCAACAGGAAATCCCATGACTCTGGGCCCAGAATTCCTCACTCCAAGGACCCAGAAAATGAAGCCAAATATGGACTTCCACCCAGCCCCAGCCTTTCAGATTGCGCCTTAAAGCCAGACCTCTAGACCCCAGTGAGTGAGCACACACCCCTCTCACCGGCTGCAGGCTCCTGTTCTCTGCCTCAGGGGCTGCTGTTTAGGGCCGGCACCCACAGGGCTGTCCCCTCTGGCTTCCAGGTGGGCTGACCCTCCTTCCATTGGCCAGGTGCTGCTGGGCTCCGTGCCCTTTGTTGGTGACGGGCACTCCTGTGCCACTAGCCCAGGCACTTCACCACCCTTCCTCCCTCCCCCCTTCACAAACGGACCCTCAGTTAGCACTCCCCAGTTACCATGCTTCCCACCAGGGAGCAGCCTGGCCATACCCTCGCTCCTCTGCCTTCCCATTCATCTTCCAGTTGGACGTGGGTGGCCCCTAACCAGTTCCCTGGCTGGTCCCCAGATGCCTCCAGTGAGAACATTGCCACCTGTGCCCAACAAGCCTTGCACAAACCTTGGCACAGGCAGGTGAGGTGTGAGGGTGACCACCTCCCTCCTGCCCCCAGGGGCTGCACCAGCCCAAGTCACAAGCATCAGAGGCCCTAACAGCAGCTCTGTGAAAGGCCCCACGACGCCCCAGTGGGGGAGCATGGGAACATTCCAACCCACTGGCAAAGATAGGACAGACAGGAGCCGGCAGAGACAACGGAGCCTCAGCACCATGAGAGAACTGCTTGCTGGCTCCTGCCGGGCAGGAAGAGAGGCAACGGGGACACTGCAAGGCGGGCAGAGGCCTGGGCTCACCCGCCCAGCTCTACCCCTGATAGCCCCAGCCACCGCCTTGGGACTGGAGAAGGTGCTCGCCTCTCTGGGCCTCACTTCCTCTTCTGTAAACAGGTGCACCAGAGAAACAGCACCCACCTCAAGGAGCCAAAGTGAAGAATGAATGGCACCCACGTGTCCAGCACAGAGCACCAGGCCAGCCAGGCAAAGCACTGGATAAAAAGAGCTATTGTTTTCCAGCAACTCTGGGAGCTTTCCAGTCTGTCTGCATGGCTCAGCCCAGGGGAAGGCCTGCAGGCTGCCTGCACTCCCTGCGAGAGGGCAGAGGGCCAGAGACATGGACATTCCATGTCCTCCTTTGCACATTCCTTCAAGAATAGGGAACACAGAGTCCACCCAGTTATCCCTCAGGAGACACCACTACCTGCCTCCAGCTGGAATACGCAGACACACTGCCCAGGGCACATCCAACCTGGAAGCCAAACCCCACACCTGGGGTAGAGCACACCATCTCACAGCCTTCCCCAGCCTCCCCAGCACCTCGCAATGTTCTCTGTCTTGACAGCCAACACAAGCCAATTTATTGCAAATGACCCTGAGTCTGGGGTGGGATCAGAGGAGCCTGCTCTGTTCCAAGCCTTTGTAAGAGGAGGAGGCTGGTTCCAGATAAGAAGATTGAAGCACAGAGAGGGTCGGTAACCAACTAAGGATCACACAGGATTGGACTCATGCTCCCCTCATTCCCTCCTGGCATTCCCCATTCCAGATTCTGTTTCTTCAATAACCCCAGCCCTTCTTCCATCCCAGCCTCCCCGACACCTGAGTCTAGGAAGAGAGTATAAGGACCTGGGAAGGGTCAGGGGCCAGGCACAAGGGGTCTGATCACATCCAAGATGAGCCTGTATTGCTGAGGCCACGTCAGCCTGAGCAGCAGTCAGGTCAAGGGTGTGTGCCCTGTAGCCAGGCACAGCAGGCTGCGACCCTGGCCCGTACACCCCCTGCCTGTGTGACCTGCAGCAGAGGAGTCTCCGAACCTCAGCTTTCTCATCCACAAAATGGGCCAGGAATCCTACCTGAAGGTACTTTAGGAGGGTTAAGGGAGGCGATTCCTGCAAGCACAGCCCATGCTCCATCCTTCATCCAACAGGTCCTCATTGAGCACCCAAACCGAGACAGGCTCTATTCCAGGTGCAGAGGGTTGCAGGAAGGGACCCCACTGCTGCACAGCCCAGGGGCAGCTTCAGACCCCCTGCACTACCTGGGCCTCCTCCCTGCCCCGCCCCCACAAAGCCAGCCGGTGGCCAGGGTCAGGGATCACCTGGCTATGCGAGGTCAACAAAAATTTACACAAAGCCAGCCCACCACGTCTTTCTAGCTTCTAGCCTGCTAGACAATTAACATGCTACCTTGGGCTGCTATACACAAGATGCATTGACACCATCAGAAAACAGACTCCAAATCGGTATGAACCCCGTCTGAAGTTAGAGCTTCTTCGGAAGCCCTCGCCATGCCTCTGCTCTAGCAGTTTTACTTTTAAGCAGGTACACCTGAAACATGTCACACTGACATCGGAGAACTGGCAGAGGACATGAACCAGAAGCTCAAAGAAAAACAAAATTGAGTGTCTAATAATCACAGGCCGTGCATGCTCAGGGCCGCCCCCCGCCTGACTGTCATCATCGTGCCCATCCCACCTGCATCTCAGCTGTGGTATCCGTACTGTGAAAATCACTCTCCAGCACAGCCTTGGGACCATCAGTGCCCTGGCCACCCGCAGCCTGGTACCACAGTTATGCCACAGGCGTCCAGGGTTGTCCAGAGGCTGACTAGTGAGGGTGCCTACTCCAGCTCTGCCACACAAAGGCGAGTGAGTCGGCCTCCTGAGCCTGGGGGTCCCTACCTGAGCAGCAGGCTGCCCCAGACCTGCCGTGCCAGCACAGGCCGCAGCCCAGAATGCAGCAGGGACTCCACAGAGAGCTGCACTGCAGCCTGCAGTTCCTGCCCTCCACTCAGTGCCCTCCATCTTCCTTCTCAGCAGAAGATACCTTTGATGGCTCAGTCCCCTAACTGCCCCGCTGGATGCCTTCCTTGACCATACACTAGGAGCTCAGAGTGGACTGCACTCAGGGGCTGGGCATGGGCTATGGGCGGAAAGTCTCACAGGAGGTCTCGCTTGCCCTGGGTGGCCTTCCTCTGCTCCTGGGTCCTCCAGGCCCTCCCCTACCTCTGCGACTGCTGCTCCTGGCTCTATTCCTGGCCCTCCAGCCCTTCTGCCCAGCCTTGGCCTCCTCCCTAGGGTCCCCAACTGTCACTTTGATGCCAAGGACCCCAAGCTCACAGCCCTATTGCTCGCTCTCTCCCTCGGTGGCTCCTGGGAACTGCAAAGGCAACATGTCCAGTAGCTGCTCCTCCTGCCCCTGACCCCAAGAGCGAGGGAGGTGGCTCCAGCACCATCGCACTGCCCGGGCCAACCTCCCTATCCAGAGTCAACTAATCCTCTGGAAAGCCCTGAGAACCATCCTCAACCCCACTGGCCTCTCCCCTCAGCCCAAAAGGAGCCTATCTACCCTGGCAGTCCTCCATGGAATGAAGCAGGACAGGCATTGGAGTCAGTCCAACCTGGGTTCAAATCACAGCGTAGCCACGTTTGGGGTGGGTGAGTCCAGCAGCTGCCTGCTCGGCTCGGAACCTGTTGCTCATCTATAAAGTGCGCACGATCGCCCCAGTCTGAAAGCAGTGCTGCGGGCGACACAGGCTCCCTAGTCTCTAACACGGGTCCCTGGGCGCACCCTGCTAGGGGAGCTGGTCACAGGTGACATCAAACGCCGTTAGATAAAGTCGCGCGCGCCCACCCTGTCGTCAACCCAGGGCCCATCAGGCGCCCGGGAGAGAGCTCACGGCGTCGGAGGGCCCGGGCGGGGTTTCCGAAGGAAGGCCTTCCCTGCCGCGGCAGCTTTCCGGCCATTGTCCCCGCCACCCGCCCCGCCCCGGGCCACCTACCCCGCGGCGGACGGCAGGCTCTGCCGGTGCTGGCGCCTCCTGTACAGCCCCGATGCGGCCAGCGCACCCAGCCGGGCTGCCATGGAGCGGGGCAGCCGCCTCGAGGTCGCGGGCGCGGCCGCCTGGTGCAGAGGCCGTGGGACCACCTCGGAGGGGAGGCGCGGCCGCCTCGGGCCAGACACCGCGACGGGACGGGCACGTGTGGGCGCCTCCCCGACGCTGGTCTCCAGCTCACGTTACGCGCTGGGATCTCCAAAGGGCAGCGGAGTCAACTCCAAATAGAAAGGATATTGTTCGCGCGGCGGGGGCAGCTCCTGAAAGCTGAGGCTGACAGGGTTGGGTCCCGCTGGGAGGAGACTGGTCTGGGAAGGCCCCGGAGAGCATTTAGGTGAGGTGGTGACAGGACACCCAGGAGGTCACCGGCTGCCACCTGCCAGGAGGTGCTAAGGAGGGCAGGGTCAGCTGAGGAGGGCAGCGAGGACCTGGCGCCTTCAGGAGCGCTGCCAACAGTAAAGAAACCGATGACCGGAGCCACAAAGACCCACATTCTACTTTGCTCCCTTCCCTGAGAGCCTCTCCCACAAACACCACCCTGACCAGGCAGAGCTGATCCTCTGGATCTGGCCAACAAATGGCCAAGGACCCCAGGAGAGACCCACATCCTAGAGAAAGGGCAATCCTCCAGCTTCCAGGGGAGGAGACACAGAGGCACCCAGTGGAAACCACCAGGAAGGCACCATGCTCCACGCATTTTTACCCAGAGAGACAGGCAAGGCTACTTGTGATTCAAGCATGACCACCCACGGTTGGTATCCAAACGGTGGCCAAGGTGGCCCTGGTCAGCAACACGATAAAGATCCAGCGCATTCATGGAATCTTTAACACTGATTCCCTTTCCCTGAAAAACCTTTCTAGAAAGTCAGAAAGCTTGAGGAATATCTTCTTCTACCTTCCCAAAGCAAGAGCTGGCAGCCCTCACTAAAGACAGCAGGGCACGGGTCCTCCCGAACTGGGGTGGGAGAAAGCCCTGGAGGGGCTCGCTGGCTCTCAGATACCAGGCCCACATGCCACCACCGAGGAGCACACTCACCCAGCAAGTCCCAGCAAGAGGAGGTACTCATTAAGCACCCTGGGAGTCAGGGGCAACAAGCACTGGGTACAATAGAATTTGTAAATGCAGCCCAATTCCAAAGTTGCACAACGCTGATCAATTCAACAAATAGTTTTTTAAAGATGGCCCCGGGGGCTAAAGGGCATAGAGAGGCTGAGCCTAGAGGAGCCAAAATAAACAAGGAATACCTCTGAATCTGATGTAGATAGTTGAATGCTTACGAAAACTTATGCAGAGAATGTTCTTACCGCAGCTACAAGTCAATGGTATAGGGCCTCAGCCCCTCCCACCACCCCCGACTCAGCCCCTCCCACGTGGAAAACCTCGACACTAGAATCCAGGACTCTCGCGCAGAGCCAGTTCTATGTAAGGAGGAAACATCTATTTAGGGCTCCAAGGGTCACCTGTAGAACTGGAAAGGAGGCTACAGCCACAGTGTTTTGTACAACATAATTTGTAAATGAAGTTCAAGCACAAGTTTACCAAGTACGAATCAATTCAACAAATATTTACTATAAAAGTGGTCATCAGAGGCTAGAAATTGAGAGAGGTTTAGAGTCTGATTGAGCCCAAATCCCAAAGCTCTACACAACCTTACTACCCATTCTCTGCCTGTCCTGCTGCAGGGATGGGATTGGGAGCCACAGATACCGTACACCGGACCTAGCACTCTATACAAAGGATTATACACTGTGGCCAAATGGGATTTGGGTCCGTGCTCTGGCTCTAGACATTTGCAAAAACACTGAGAGTGATGTCAGCAAAAAATGGTGGAGTAAGGACCTCCAGAAGTTCGTCCCTCCACAAAAGCAATGAAAAAGACTAGCAAAAATTACCGGAATCTACTCTTTCAGAACTCTGCAAATCCACCAAAGGCTGGCAGTAACCCTAGGAACATTTGGTCAAGAAAAACTGATTAATCTTGGCAAAAACAGTGAGGTTTGTGTTGTTTCAACTTATTCTAGTCCCTTATTCCTGCTCCCTAACTCCATGGCTGCCTTGAAAAATGATAGCCCATGTTCCCAGTAAGGAAGTAGCAGAATGGAATATTATGAACAACTGCATGCCAATCAGTTAAATAACCTAGCTGAAATGGAGACATTCCTAGAAGGACACTACCAAAACAGACTCAAAAAGCAATCGAAAATCCAAATATCAATCTGTTTTCATACTGCTATTAAGAACTGCATGAGACTCAGTAATTTAGAATGGAAAGAGGTTTCATTGACTCACCATTTAACAGGGCTGGGGAGGACTCAGGAAACTTATAGTCCTGGCAGAAGGCAAAGGGGAATTGAGGCACCTTCTTCACAGGTGGCAGGAAGAAATGCAAATGAAGGGGGAAGAGCCCCTTATAAAACCAGCAGATCTCGTGAGAACTCACTCACTATCATGAGAACAGCATGAGGGAAACACCCCCATTATTCAATCACCTCCACCTGGTGTCTCCCTTGACACATAGGGATTATGGGGATTACAATTCAAGATGAGATTTGGGTGGGGACACAAAGCCTCACCATATCACCAAATAAAGCCAGTAACATGCAAAGAGACTGAGCTAGTAACCAAAAAACTTCCACAAAAAAAAGCCAGAGCCACCTGGCTTCACTGGTGAATCGCATCAAAGGTTTAACTAGAATTAACACCAAACCTTCAAACAAACAAACAAAACACCAGTGTGGTGGCACATACCTGTAACCCCAGCTCCTCAGGAGGCTGAGGCAGGAGAATCACTTGAACCCTGAAGGCAGAGGTTGCAGTGAGCAGAGATCACACCACTGCACTCCAGCCTGGTGACAGTGAGATCTTGTCTCAAAAAGAGAAAATAAAACAGAAAACAAAACAAAAAACCTTCACAAAATCTTTCAAAAAAATAAAAGAAAGACTAGGAGGGAACACTTCTCAACTCATTCTATAAGTATTACCTTGATATCAGAATAAAACACGAAGGTCACAAAGATGCAAAAGTCCTCAATAAAATACTATAAACCAAATCTAACACTCTCTATAAAGTATTATACTCCATGACCAAATGGGATTTATCCCAGCAATATAGGGTTGGTTTCACATCTGAAAATCAATGTAATATACCATATCAACAGAATAAAGGGAGAACACTCTATGACCATCTCAATAGATGCAGAAAACACATTTGGCAAAATCCAACATCTTTTCGTAATAAAAACACCCAACAAACTAGGAATAGAAGAGAGAACTTCTTCAACTCGAAAAGGGGCATCCAAAAAACCCACAGCTAACATCATACTTAGTGGTGAGAAAATGAATGCTTTCCTCCTAAGGTCAGGGGGATTTCTAATCTTGCCATTTGTTTTCAGCATTGCACTGGAGATTCTATCAAGGACAGTTAGACAAGAAAAAGAAAAAAAGACATCTAGTTTGAGAAGAAAGAGTAAAACTATTTTTATTTGCATATTACATACTCATATATAGAAAACTCTTTTTTGTTGTTGTTTTGAGACAGTCTTGTTTCCTTGCCAGGTGCCAGGCTGGAGTGCAGTGGCACGATCTCGGCTCACTGCAACCTCCGCCTCCCAGGTTCAGTCAATTCTCCTGCCTCAGCCTCCCAAGTAGCTGGGACTTACAGGCGTGCACCATCACGCCCAGCTAATTTTTATATTTTTAGTAGAGATGGGGTTTCACCATATCGGTCAGGATGGTCTCGATCTCTTGACCTCATGATCTACCTGCTTCAACCTAAAAAATCCCCCCTCAAAAAAAGAAACCCTATTTACAGCTAAGAAATGAGTTCAGTAAGTCTGCATGGTATAAGATCAATAGACAAGAATCACTAGCAATGAGAAATCTGAATATGAAACAAAACAACCCCATTTGGGACAGCATCAAAAAGAATAAATACTTAGGAGTAAATTTAACAAAATAAGTGCAAGACTTCTTATTCACTGAAAACTACAAAACACTGTTGAAAGGAATTAAAGACCTAAATAATGATAAAGATAACCTGGGTCAGGTGCGGTGGCTCACACCAGTAGTCCCAGCACTTTGGGAGGCCAAGGCAGGCAGAGCACAAAGTCAGGAGATTGAGACCATCCTGGCTAACATGGTAAAGCCCCATCTCTACTAAAAATACAAAAAATTACCCAGGCATGGTAGTACCTGTAGTCCCAGCTACTTGGGAACCTGAGGCAGGAGAATTGCTTAAACCCTAGAGGTGGAGGTTGCAGTGAGCCGAGATTGTGCTACTGCACTCCAGCCTGGGTGACAGAGTGAGACTCTGTCTCAGAAAAAAAAAAAAAAAAAAGATATCCCATGTTCATGAATTGGAAAATTAAATATTGTTAAGATGGGAATACAACACTACATCAAACTGACCTATAGATTGAATGCAATCTCCATTAACATTCCTGCCTTTGAAGAAATAGACAAGGCATACTTAAAATTTGTATGAAAATGCAAGTGACACAGAATAATCAAAACAACTTAAAAAAAAAAAAAGAGGCCAGGCGCAGTGACTTGTACCTGTAATTCTAGTACTTTGGGAGGCCAAGGTGAGTGGATCACTTGAGGTCAGGAGTTTGAGAACAGCTGGCCAACATGGCAAAACCTCGTCTCTGCTAAAAATACAACAATTAGCCAGGTGTGGTGCCACATGCCTGGCTAATTACTGAGGTCAGGAGTTCCAGACCAACCTAGCCAACATGGCAAAACCCCATCTCTACTAAAAATTCCAGAAGAAATAGCCAGGCATGGTGGCACATGCCTGTAGTCCCAGCTACTCAGAAGGCTGAGGCAGGAGAATTGCTTGAACCCAGGAGGCATAGGTTTCAGTGAGCTGAGATCACACTACTGCACTCCAGCATGGATGACAGAGTGAGACTCTGTCTCAAAAACACAAGGAAAAAAAAAAAGGACTCATGCTTTCCAATTTGAAAACTTACTTTAAAAATTACAATTTACTTACTAAAAAATTACAAGTGTCACACTGGTGTAAGGTTAGACATATACACCAATAGAACAGAAGCAAGAGTCCAGAAATAGACTGGGTGCAGTGGCTTATGTTTATAATTCCAGCACTTTGGGAGGCTGAGGCAGGCAGAGCCCAGGAGTTCAAGACCAGCCTGGGCAACATAGAAAAATCTCATCTCTACAAAAAATACAAAAAGTAGCCAGGTATGGTGGTACATAACTGTGTTCCCAGCTACTTGGGAGGTTCAGGTAGGAGGATCACCTGAGCCCAGGGGGATTAAGGCTGCCAAGATCTTGCCACTGCACTCCAGCCTGGGTGAAAGAGTGAAACCCTGTCTCAAAAGAGAGTCCAAAAATAATCCCATATATCTGTGGTCAACTGATTTTTGACAAAAGTGCCAAGACATTCAATGGGGGAGAGAGTAGTCTTTTCAACAAATGATGCTAGGACAACTGGATAGCCACATGCAGAAAATTGAGTTTAAACCCTTACTTCATGCCATATTAAAAAATTAACTCACAATAGATCAAAAACCTAAATGTTAGAGCTAAAAGCATAAAACTCCTAGAAGAAAACAGAAGTTTTCATCTCATGAGCTAGGATTAGGCAATAATTCCCTAAATATGACAACAAAAACTCAAGGCAACTAAAGAACAAGGAAATAAACTGGATTTCATTAAAATTTAAAACTTTTGTGTATCAAATGACACAATCAAGAAAGTGAAAAGACAATCCATAGAAAAGGAAAAATATTTGCAAATTCGCCATGTGCAGTGGCTCACGCTTGTAATCCCAGCACTTTGGGAGGCTGAGGGGGGTGGATTACCTGGGGTCAGGAGTTCAAGATCAGCCTGGCCAACATGGCGAAACCCCATCTCT